TCGGCTGCTAAACCCAATTCTCACTTAGCATCCGCCGTGTGAAACACCGTCCGAAATTACATCCGCAGCCACGGTAGGGGGCTCCACGCGTACAACCATGATATCCCTTGTCAATATCTGAGCGACCTGTGAGCCGGGATTCCGGATCGGATCCTCATCGCAGCCCACAACGAATGGATGCTGCAAACGGATGGCGAGACATTGTTGAGCCATTTTTGGCATACCAAAAGCTTGGTTCTCGATTCTCGTAGTATGACAGGGTTGTCACTCATCCACACAAGAGACATTCACAACTTGGGACAAGAGAAAGAAGTGGAAGGAAAAAACCTCAATGCCGCATTTTGATGCTCTGACTCAAATTTTCGTAATATGTTCTGTTTTCGTGGAAGTCTTTGCCATCACTTTGCATGATGAGGGTTACATTTTCTGCACCTAGCCAGGACCGAGCACCAAGAAACACACTCAACACTCTTTGCTATGTACAAGCTAACGAAATGTCACGAACTCTATTTTCTCGGTTTGGCACCTAGCTAGACTATTGACATGTGGCGGTCAAGCTGACGTGTTACACTCAATGCTCTCTGAGGCTGTCTCTTTGTGCAACTTGCTTTATCTAATCTCCTCAACACTTTAAGTGCTTGGAACTCTGGTTAACAGTTGATGGACTCCCCTGATCAGTGTCGAGTAAACAAAACAGCCAGTCTCTCAAGCGACGAGCTGCTGCCTGTATAGAAAATCCTGATTCAGCCCATAACTTATGGGCCTATGGGGCGCTCATCTTATCTCACGAGATCGCTTCGGGGGTCCCTGGAGTCTTTTGAGCTTTTAATAGGGTTTGACCATGGCTCTTGCTCTCCACTGCCCATGAGCTGTTGACTCTGGGTTAGTGATTCGATACCGCAACACGGTTCAAGGGATATCCAATTTCAAAGTACGACGCATTGAGCGGGACGCTAATATAATGTTGTTGTGGTATACGAACGCTCAGGGACATGACCCACCTTGACGGGATGTGGATGCCGTTGATCAAGGCGAACATACTCCGTACATACATACCGTTGATCAACCTGGCAATGATTAGAACAGCAGATTAGTTATTTAGGATATGAGGCCTCCCTAGGAAGTAGCGGGAACGACATCCAGGTGAGATACCTTACCTAGGATAGTAGTGGCAGTCGTTCATATAAAAGATGATGATATATCTCGTATCTCATGTGTGGTACAGGGTAGTTAGGTTTGTTTTGTTTACATATAAGCCCCTGGCTTCATTATCACATGCAGGCCTCAACAAACTGCACCCTATTGATCAATCTATTACACTTTACCAGTGCGATATACGTTATGTGTACCTCTACCCACTTGATTTCAAAACATTGCAACAGACCTACCTGTTGGCACTGAGGTGGTTGAGTCATCCTTCTCGTAATAGGTTGTGAGCAACCAAGGTCTGAGACTTATGTACACAGGTGAACTAGAGAAACCGCAACAGACGAAACAAGCCATCGTTTTTAAAATAGATCCTGTAACATGGCATGATGGCTCCAGAGTTCAGGTGAGCTAATAACATGATCGGCGCTAGGATACCTGCGAATCGCGATATTTGCAGAAGCGCCCGACGATGGGAAATGAGGTGAAGGACTAGAGGACGATCGCAGGCGCGCGCTTGTTATTCCCGTGATTTGGCTAGGAATTACGGATACACTACGACAGAGTTGAGTGCAACACCAAAAGCGCCATCGACAACCAGACGTTTCTCTGAGCTCGCTGTTGAAATATGGTCCGTTATCAAATTAAGATTAGTTATGGGGTAAAGTTAAACGCCAACAATGGGTGTTGTAACGGACATCAAACTGGGGCCCCGCTATAAGGTAATGGAGAATCTGCAGCCCGTTGAGAGCTTATCGAATAAGCCGCGTCTGTGGCCAAAGCCACCATCGCCCTGTTGGACAGTAAATCAATGGAGGTCAACACAGCCTCTTACGTGAAGCCGATATCCAAATATCATAAAGCCACAATAATAGTCGCAACGGATGACCATCAATACGAAAAAAATGCCTAGCAATACCGAAACCCAAATTGGGATGATAGTGCGAGAAGCGGCGGAATGATGACCCGTCATCCCGCCCTGTTAGTTAGGGATAAACTGTCACCGCAGCGAATAATAGAACAACATGTTTAGCTAGTTGTGGCAGGACTCAAGCCACTTGATAGGATCGTCCACTACCAGCTTCAACACGTGATACCGTCAGATGCTGATTCGCCCATGTTGGGTTGAGGAAGCTATACAGCTCTTGAAGCCTCGCGAGTTCTATGGCATACTTGTAAAACTTCAACCTCCTAAACTCGAAATATATATTGTATGCGACGACTTAGATGCACGAGGACAAAAAGCTGCTACCGAGTAACATTACTTCTACTCTGATCGCTGAGCAATCTATAAGAGCTGCAAGAAGCAAGCTGAACCACAACCGGTCCACACCTGAAAGCATTCAATCATGGACCTAAATCAAGAATTTACTCCGGGAATGCTGTCATTCCCTGATCAGCCCGATTTTGACTACGCCGTCTTTCTCCAAACTGACGATATAACTTTTGGCGAGGGTGCCCAGATCCAACAGCAAGTACCGTCGGATTCCTCAGACAAGGCTACACCACCAAGCACAACATCAGGGTCTAGCAGTGAACTGGTTGCTCGACCTTCAGCTCAGAAACAAAGACTTGAGCGAAGAGGCCACACCAAGAGTCGAAGAGGTTGCTACAACTGCAAGAGAAGGCGTATCAAAGTATGTAGACCCGAATATCTAAATTCGACGGATCGACTAACACCAGGAAGTGCCAGGAGACTCGGCCTGCGTGTGGCCACTGCACCAAGACGGGCCTGAAGTGCGAGTATCCATCTATGCCTCAGATCACACATCAGGTGCGTAAGCGACAAGGCTCAACAACTGTGTCAGCTAACGAGTGTGTATTCAGCCGCATCACCAGATTCCTTTATTCAGTCTCCAGGATATGCGCTTCTTCCAGCACTTTCTGACACAATGCTACCCCCATCATCCCTTGAAGCAAGAGGATATCTGGACCCATGAGATCCCTTGCATTGCCCACAACGTACAGATCCCCGTCAAGTAAAGGAAATAAGGCAGTTACTGACCGGTCTAGCATGAATACCTTATGCACGCAATCCTCGGTTTCTCGGCATCCGAACTTATGAGGAATGACTCCAGTATTGTTCAGTCAGCCATGAACCACCGTATCAAGGCAATAAGAGCAATCAAGAAGCGTCTGGCCGAGACTGCCAGAAGCTCAATGGAGTATGAGGAAGCGAACGCCATGGTAGCTACCTGCTACGCTCTTACATTTCAGTCCGTGAGCTTGGACGATGGACTGGCGGAGTATCTGACCTTCATCCGTGGTATCATGATTGTGGGAATTCAAATGCTGTTCCGAGGTATAAAACCAATATTTAAAAATATGATGGAGCCGGATCAAGATGCCTTACTCGAACCCCTAATGCAGGGCCTCCCACTAATTCCAAAGGGCTACACAGACTCTGCAATGGAGGCTCTTACGAATCTCAAGCCACTGTGCGCCCAGCCAGTCGAAGTTGAGTACCACCAGCATCTCGTCAAAATGGTCGAAAAGCTCTACATCAACTCATGGGATGGTAAGTCTCTGATCACACAACACTTGACTGGCACCCAGCTAACTAGACCTAGCATATAAAGCATACACAGCACAATACGGCTGGTGGATGTTGCTTCCACACGACACCTTCCAAGCTCTCATTGATCCAGATAACCAGGTCATGATGCTGCTTCACTCACACTGGGTCGCCATCAACGAGATCATGTCTCCTATCAGCGGGCAAGAACGAAACGTTTCTGAAAAGTATCCAGCACAGAGAGATGACCAGCCACAACTTGATCCTGGTTTTGCTCGATGGCTCAAATATATTAATGCTAATATCGACCTCGAGCACCAAATGTACAACCAGTGGCCGATGTGGGTGGAGGAACAGTTGGATCAAGATATTACTTTCTTTGGAAGGACTTAATTATCGGGTTATCCACAATTATTTGGTAAATTCTTGCAAGTTGTTGCAGATTTAGAAACTAAAGTCTTCTAGTACCTTAGGGAACATATATCGTGTCCATGGGGTTGACAGCTCAAGCGGCGAGAGTGTTGTCTACTGTTTCAAGTTACGTTCCCATGAGGAAAACGTCAATATCTTGAATGATAGACCCTTCCAAGATCTTTGGCCATTGATATTAAAGGAGCAAGCAAAAAGATTCGGAGAGGGAGAGAAACCAAAGAGGAAAACGTGAAGGAAGGGAACGAAGAGCCGGTAACTCACATTGTAGTTCTATGTACCTAATTGTCACCTTCCAAGCTCCTGACGGCCAGGCCAGGACGTTCTCTTCAGACAAAGAAAGTCATGATTGATTTAGGAAACTGTCTACTCCAGATCACCAAAAAAACTACCTTAAATCATCACAAGCTTGGGAGGCTCTTGAAATGTCAATTTTTAGCCCCCATCCGACTCAAGGTCTCAAGTGTCGTTCCCGGTGCCTAAGGTAGTCTCGGCACTGCCCCAGCAAAGCCCCCACTATCGAATCTCGCATTCATCGTATTCCGTGCGATTGGGTCGGGCGTGGGGGCATGATCATTATACAAGCCAATCATATTTGGGGACAACCTTCATAGGGCTGAACAATGCCTTGGGCTGTCCCTGTCATAGAGCAATGAGTTGTGCCGTATTCTTCGGGTTTGGCCATGGCCAATTGAAGATCTAAGGATAGAGAGGTAGGGAATATAGGGCTGTGGGTATAAATAGACCCTCTGTCCGCCTTCAAGATGGAACAAGATTGAAAGCGAGCATCATAAGGAGACTTACACCAACGGCTTATCAGCATCACCAAGCTACATTCAAAGAACCAGGTATTCAAAATACTCTTACCAAGACCACTAGTATAAGAAAGAAGTCTACAAAAACTGGGACAATGGCAACCTCATCCTTGGAACTTGGCCATCGTCCCTCTGGTCACTTGGCTCCACCTCCTGACTACGAGACCACTGAAGCTGTAGAACTATCACGCCTCTCGCCAGCTACGTCTTCAACAAACTCCCTTCCAGAGTATACGACGCTATACAATATTGAAAACGGAGACTCCGCATCCTCCTCCTCAACATCGGTATTTTATCCTACAAAACAGCTGCAGATCCAAGCCCCTGGGTTTGCACTTATTAGGCTTCCTCTACCGCCACAGCCAGATCCTATCTATGTCTTCAACGTCGCAGCAACGGGAGAACTCGATGATGCAGAGTATGTATCGATCAGGCCTACAAGAAACTCAGGCTCTTGTTTTCTTGCCAGGGCGAACGATCCTACACAAGCAGCTCTTTGCACGACCACATACCGTTTTGGCCCAGGCAAGCCTCCCAAGATCCGTTTTGTTGGGGATGGATCACAGAACGGCCAGACAGAGGAGATAGAGCTCAGCTGCAAAGGTGTTCTAACTCGCAGCACCATCATGCGCACTCATCTCGGTACTTTCGAATGGCGATATAGTTCCCGCGCCGAACGTCGAAGTGCAAAAGCCTCTGTTGGCGAGGACATCGACTGTCTACTCATTCTAGACCAAGTCATGAAAGTGGCCATTGCAGGAGGAAAGCAAGAAGAGAGTAGACGCAAAGTTGGGCAATTCGTGCGTAGCGATGGACTCCGCACTCAAGGTTCTAGGAGGAGCTCTGCTGGAAATGGTGGACGGCTTATGCTTGATTTGCGTGAATGGCTGGATCGGAAAAACGAGGCAATTGAGATGGAAATTCTAGCTGTGGTGAGTTGTGTGTCTATGATGAAGAGAGAAGTGGATAGGCGAAGAATGCATCAGACTATGGCTATCATGGGAGGTGCTTCTGGTGGACCCTAGAGTATTGGCACGGTTATGATACTCGGATGAGATTGATACTAGTGATAGACTGTTCGCATATTTTAGTTATATAAATCAAACTTTTGCTTCTCAAGAGACAGTTTCGTTAATTGTGACCGGATAAATGCCAACCACCAAATTGCATCCCATATCACCCATTGGTGTACTTATTCTTGCACATCAGGAACCGCAGTTTTCTCTCTGGGTCCCAGCTCAAGCACCTCAGTCGATGGAATCTGTTCCTTCTCATTCAAGTTGGCATTTTCGAGATCTTTCTTACTGCACTTACATCTGTACCTCACCGAACACCCCTGCTTCTCACCAATGAATGGGTCGTTGCGGCATGATTTGCCAAACAACTCCAGCAGCAACACCCACACAGAGAGAGCCAAAGTGATGGATATCAGGTTAAGCGAGTTCAGGCTCTTGGCCAAGGGCAAGAGAAACAAGATGAGGCAGACAAGAAGTCTATTGGCCAACCGCGTCTTCTTGGACAGGCGTCTAGTTGCTGGATGGCGATGATCATGTGTGGCTGAAATGACTCCCATAAAGAACAAGGCCACAGCAAGGCCTTGACAGTAAAAGTACCGGATACCGTCAGCCACCTCAGGATCTGAACGCTCGATATAGTGTTCCGTAAGATGCTCAGGGTTGGCATCCGGAGTATCTGCGACCCAGACGAGCTTAGATAGCCCGGCAGATGCAAGAATGTAGCCCATGATGAACGGGAGGTGAGCGTAGTGCCATACGGACGCTTTGCAGGTTAGCAAGGGGTTATTACCATGGTCTTCATAACTTACAGGATATCACAGAGCGCCGAATAGCATGGATATTGATGTTGCTGCCATCCACATCAAAATATATCCAGTTAAACACAAACGCCTGGCAAAGACCTAGGACAGCCTTTCCCAAAAATACATCGACGGTATATCCTCCATGACTCTGAAACATTGGTCCCATGACAGAATATCCAAACACCAGTGAGACAAAGGCGTTGGTTCGTTCAACGCGATGCTCAATATTGACAGCTGGAAAGAACTCGAAGATACCTGAGAGATACTTGACAATCTTTTTGTCATGAGCAGCCTTTCGGCCATATTGGTAAATTCCAGTGAGGATGCTCTGGCCGCACATATCCAAGGTGATGGCAACCCAGATGAGTCCCAGACGAGAAGGCATCTCAACATGAATACTAGCAATCCATAGGGCTGCTGGCACAATTATATTGAGAGCTTGACAGAACATGACACCTCGCACCATTGGCAGCAGGTACCCAGTGTATAAGAAGTGGAAGACACCTCTGAAACGAGCAGCGACATAGAATGATACCAGCATGGTGTAGGTATTATGCTCCCCAGGATAAAATGCATATGTCATGTTGGTCGAGAACCTAAGGAGTCAGATGGATGAAGTTTTCTTGACTGTTGCTGACGTACCCCAGAAGACAAGCAATCTCGAACAGAATCTCAAGCCGTGTAAAGACATCGTCCGTCTCAAACCAACTCAAGATCAGAGTGATATCGGACCAAATCTTCCATGACATGATGAACGTGATTGCGAAGCGAAGCAGCTCCTTGCCGGTCGGCTCAGCCCAAACATGCTCGCCGTCGACGTGAATGATACCGACTTTTCGAGCGGTGAGAATTTGTTATTGCAACAGAGTTGGGTTTCTTACCATAGAGAAGATCAAAGAACAACTCAATAGCCATGATCTCGGTGTTTTCTGAAGCACGCCACAATAACCCCTTGTGAAACCATTGCTTGACCACTGGTTTCTTGAAAAGTTTGATGGTTTCTCCTAGTCGAGGTTGACCTCCACCAGAGCCAACTGAGAGTGTATCCGAAGTTGACATGTTGGAGGAGTCAGCAGCTGGTAAGGGGTCATCATCGTCATAAGTTCGTAGCTCAGCACCATAACCAAACTTGTCGAAATTGGCATTCAGAGCAGACGTGTTGGTGGAGAGTCGCTCCAGGTGGCCGTTGACGATATCAAGTTGGCTCTGCATGTCTTCCCACTCGTCAAATGCAGGTCCATGCCGTTGTCGAAAGTGAGCACGACGACTCTCATGGTGATCTCGGGTCTCTCTTAGATAGTCACAATGTTCTGGTGATCCGTGGATGACCACTTCAACCTGAATATCATTTCGCTTTCCATGTTCTTCACGTAAAGAGTCGAGATCTTCGGGCAGAGAGGCGATGATCTTCTTGCCGTTTGGCAGGAAGAACTCCTGCGGTCGCCGGCGTCGAGTAGAGGCAATGTATGACATTTGAGCACAACTGATTGAGTTTGGAATGTCAATGAAGTGACGAGACCAACACTATATAAGGAGAAGGTGCTAAAAGACTACAAGATAAGCACAGAGCCAATGGCTTTAGCTCATTGGGCGGCCGACTCTGAACACACAGGCCCCTGCTAATTCGATGCCGCTATCATTGGCTTTTGATGATGTGTCTCACGGCTTATTTGATTGATCCCCAATCCCCGCAAGTGAGGCTGGACAACCATCCATTGCAAAGAGACACTACTAGGATAAGCATAAGTGTTTCATTTTAAGCTTAACGAGATGCGTAGTCATCATGACTAAGTGATTGAAAATAATCGTATTTTATTATTGAGAACAATACCTGTTGCCTTACGAATGGGTTTTCATCGAGAACATCAATTTGGGAAGGATTCTATTAGCCTTACGGAGGAAATTAGGTAGATCTGGGAACGCAAGGGCCTTCCCGCTAAACTAAGATCGCGGAAAATCAAACCACGTGACATATCTCCCGGCTGTTCACCGGCTCATGACAACATTCTGCCTAAGGCTGCAATACTAGCTCTGCAATTGCCCGGTAATTCGGAGCAAAGATTCAGTAGCCATCACCAACTACCAAAACCCATCCCTCCCAATTCAACCTCCAACACCGCCAAAATGACTGCTGCGTGGAGAGCCGCTGGTCTTACGTACGTCAATTGAACTCCCAGACACTGCCGACTACAACGTCTTCCGCCGAGCGACCGTACCGAAACACCGAGAAGCTAACATTGCGTTTCGATAGCTACAACCGCTACCTGGCCATCGCCGCCCGCGTTGTCCGCCGAAGCTTGAAGGAGGACAAGAGAATCGCTGCTGAGCGCCGAGGCGAGATGGAACTGCGATTCTCCAAGTGGCAGGTAAGGCGATACGGAACCAAAAAGACAGCCAAAAAAACAGCGACGCAGACTAACATGTAATTACCTCAACAGAACGGTAAGCAGGGTGAGCCCAAGAACCTCGCCGCTGCCAACGCCGCCATTGCCGCCGAGAACGCTGCTTAAGCAGATCGATTTAGAGATGATTGCGCGTGGGATAATAGAAGCGTGGCGCTCGAAGGGTTTACTCGGCTCAGATGAGATGGACTTATTCCTCAACCGAATGTATACACCTGGAGCCACTGTACCATAACGATTGTTGCAATGTATCAATCAAATTCAAAACTACGACTGCAATTAGAGGCAAGAATGGATTTGCTGGTGAATCAATCAATGCTGTGATGTAGCTGAATGATTTCTATCGTGATACCCGCGGTGGAACGTCCGCATCTCAACTTTCTGTCACACCCGGCTACAGCCGAATTAGTAGCTACGGCTCCGCTAACGATGTGTATCAACACACATGACCAGGTTGCTATGAAATCCGTGACTTCATGCCTCTTTTCTAATGTAAAACTTTGTTGTAATTTCCCTTTTGCGTTGATTTCACTAACATAACAGCCAAGCTTGGTAGTATATCATTCAATCATTGTACGTAGCAGTGGGCCCATCATCATAATTGGATGTATCGTCCTATCTCCCTTGCTGCTCACAATCATCTTCTATCAAACATCCATCTATATTTCAGCACTACCACCATCACGCAAACGTACAATATTAATATTTAATGCGATAGCTCGTCGCTTTACTTAGTCAATATGGACGATATTGGCAACAGAATTCAGGATGGTGGGTGCCCAATACTGCCTTACCCTTAGGTCCCGCGTGCCAATGTCGTCAAAATCTGACTTTGGGAGCACAGATATCGCGAGAATATCGCTTGATCACCAATATGAGCTGCCACCTCCGCCACCTCCGGATATTGCGACTGCAGGGATAATTGCAGTGGACATCACAGATAAATTCTCAGCAGCTGTCAAGAGTAAGTTCTGTGTCGCTGACTTGGTTCATGACCCCGCCGTTGACTCAAGTCTGACCAGCTCTCGCACCCGGTGAACTTGTTAAAGATGGGCAATTTACGCTATTCGAGTCCGTTTCAGGGCTCGAGGTTCGTCTACCGTGAAGGCTAGCTGCGTTCAACACTAATATACTTAGATCATGGATCCTAAAATGGATAGCGGTTGTGTTGAATCAGCAGAAGAGCTTGAAGAGCTTTACGATGTTGCGCGGCCACTGCTCCCAGAAGAGGTACTGGGAATTATAGACCAGCTTCTCTGTCATGAGGTAAGTGCTTCAGTAGCGAAGTAACTACATAAACTAATAATGTTGCTCAGATGGCGTGGCATCAGGGATATCCCCTTTCGCAGACTCTATTCACAAGTGTATACGCCGAGGCGCTCCTGACACCCACACCACGAACTGTCGAGGACGCTCACTTTGTTCGAAATGGCTCATGGGGTTCTTCTGGACAACCTGACATGCTTAAAATACTAAGAGCGTACTGTCTTGGTTTGCTTAAAGCTTGCGGTTATGTCAACGAACGGATTAGATCAGAACACTACTATGAAGTAAGTGTGAGCCGATGTCATGGCAAATGGACCATTTTTGGCTGACGCATACTTTCAAGGAAGAAGATTTCGTGACAAACACATACAGCCGTACCTTACTTGCTGAAATACAACCCCAGGCTATCCGGCAGGCTATCCAAGAAGCAAGAGACCTACTCAGCACATTATCTACCGGCGTCAGCGATGATCTTCGAGAAGCACTTGATCAACGACTGCAGCTACGGCTGTACTTTCTGGAAGCCACAGAATGCCCCAAATACGTGAAAGAGCCTGAGATCGCGCGAAAGCCATGGCTTGAAGGACTCAAGGTTCTGCCAGCCATCAAGTCATCTCACACCTTGGGAAAACCAGTCGATGAGGCCTTCAGTGCCAAGCTCCAACGAAAGCTTGCTAGCACTATGCCCCCTAGACCGATTGTGCAGTTGAAATTCGAGGATGCATTTGGTCATCTTTCAAGGCTGTTCACAGATGGTGTTGAATTGATTGATGTGCTCAACTATACAGACTCCCAATGTCTACAAGTAAGCATTGGATTCCTTTTCAGAGAATGTCAAGGCTAAACATTTCTAGAACTTCGTCTTGCAATTTCAAGCCAAGAAGCCTCAACCGCTGGTTTTCGTGCGGACTCTACTTCAGACTTTCCTCTTCAACGAAATGGAAGTTCTAGGCACAATGAGCATTCGGCAGATTATGGATGATGACTTTTCTATCGTGTCGATGCCGGCCAGCGCCCAACTTGATCGAAACAACGACGAGATCGAATTTCCCCAAGATCCGCGATTCATTGTTGCGCAACAAATGGAACAGTTTCGACAAAGAGCGGCTCAATCATTTCTCGACATCTTCAGGACCTTTTGTCAGAACAGGTGTCGTGTGAGGCGCACGCTTTGCCATATCATCAGGGACTGGGATAATCTTCAGCTCGATGCCGAAGAGATCGATCAAATTATCCAAGTCAAGTTGAACGAGAAGCCAATGAGGCATTTCACAGGGGCAAATTCCCAACCAATCGATACCTACTCCCTCCCACTATCGTCCTGGACGTACTTATACAAGATTCGCCAGATGGAATGGATCGTACAACTTGGTTTCGAGTTGGAAGTCTATCAGCCAGACGAACTTGCCGGTATGTATTGGTATCTCAACTACCTCGCCAAATGGAGGGTTCAACATACAGAGAGGCTCAAGTCCTTCATTGTTCGAAGAGTCGAGGAATCTCGCTCACCTTCTCAACCGCGAAACCCTTCAGTCGATCGCCAACTTGAGCGATCCCTTGCTTTTATCCGGCTTATGCTTCTCGATGCCGCTGTCACATGGGAATTGTCAGATGCGCTATCATGCCTTTATACAGCTCTCATGCGGCTCGAGTTGGTCAAGGTGCCTCCGCGACCTTATAGTAACGACGAACTCCGCTTTGAGCTGCGGATGAGACCATTTGCCGTTATTGGTCTACCGCCTTGCCCGGGCTTTCAAGAATTTAATCTTGGAACCACGCAGCCAGAATCTCCCACGGTGGATATTCTTCAATATGCAGAAAGAGCTCTGAAGGGTGCAAAGCAGGGACTCGAGGTGCTGAGCAAGCTGTCTGCGGCAGATTCCTTCTCAGTTGGTTCTCACGATAAATGGCAGGCTTCGAAGAAGAACGCGCTCAAAGCTTGTATTGCAACAGGACTCGCGATTACGGCTGTGCTGAAGGCAACGAAGGAAGATGCGAGTAATTTGAAGCTCAGAGTTGAGGTGCCAACTCCTGATAAGTGTTATCATGACTGGTGGATTGTACCTCATCTGGTTCCTGTCTGAAGCTTGTTGAAGGAAATCCATGTATAGGTAATGACAAAATGAGCTTAAATTGAATTGTCACATCAAAGCCGCCTTAGCGTATTCGGGTATCCAGATGAGAGTAGCACCCTCTTCCAATATTCCTGGTTACCAGCCCTGGTTTCAAACATCAAACAGAATACGAACTAATACTAGGTATAGAAGATACAACGCCATTTCCATTGCGACAATTTCAACAACAAACCAAACGCATCCTTACCGTAGATGCTTTTCGGTAATCGGAATGAGATACCGAGAATAATTGGGGATCTTCAGTCCTGGTTCTGATAAGAAGACAGGTCTAGTGGGACCAGTGCTTAAGCTAGCTTAAGCGGCGACACGTCGGCGAGCGGCCTGAGCCATTCGGAGACGAACGGTCTGCTCGTAGAGAACGTCCTTGAAGGCAAAGAGGAGCGCAGCAGTGAGGACACTCTGGGTGACCTTAGGGCCGATGCCTGTTGACGTATGTCAGTGAATTGTTATTAAGACGGTGACTTGATTTTTTTTACCTCGGTAGAGACCAGAGTAACCACTCTCACGGACGATGCGAGAAAGAGCGCTAAGGGAACCCTCCTTCTTACCGCTGCCCTGGACGTGCATCTGAGACTTGACGGTGATGTAAGGGTAGGTAATAGCAGTAGCAAACAGCTTGCCCAGGGCGCCGAGGAAGAAGGCGATAGTAGGAGTCACCTTGCGACGCTTCTCAACTGTGTTCTTGAGCTGCTCGAAGAGAGTGTACTGGAGAATAGGGTTGATGACGAGGACAAGAGCCGGGATGACACCAGAGAAGAGAGCCTGAGGACCCTCGTTCTTGAGGAGGAGCAGCAGGGTGCCGATGGTGCTGGGAGCCTTGGCAGGCTTAGACTCGCCAGCCTCGACATCATGCTTCTTCTCCTGCTGGCGAGTGGTGACTCGGGTGTTGACGACCCAGATAGGGTTGGTGATGATAACGGTGGCCGAACCAGCGATAGCACCAGCAATCATGGACTCAACAGTGGTGAGCTTGGCGCCAGCGCGGCCAGCCTTGGCAGCAGCCTTCTCGAAGAAACCGCGAGTCCATTCGTACCAGTAGTAGTAGACAAAGTTGGTGACGCTGATGCCGAAGAGGGCCGAGTTAATACCGGAGTAGAGACCAGAGATACCCTCGCGGGCGATGATGTTGCCAACAGCCTCGCTGAACTTGCTCTCGGCCTTCTTAGACTCGACCTGAGCGCGCGTGGAGAGGGTGATGAGAGGGTAGCTTAAGAGATCATCAGCGCACTGTAACTAATGCGTCATTAGAGTGTTCGCAAGCCTTACGTCAGGATCATGGACAGAAGGCCACCTCCAGCGCCAGCAAGAGCGTGGGCGACATTGTCGTTCTGGGGGATTGCTTGAGTCTCAGGCGCCGCGGTGATTTCAACCTTGTTAGGAGTAATCTCGACCTTTGTCACAGGCGTATTGATCTGAGGAGTGGTCTCCTTTTCGGCGTTGTCTGACATGATGCCGTTTTGTAAATGGTCGATGTAGTAATAGTATACAAGTTTAAGCTTAAGCGAGGCGCGTGTAAGCGATGTTTATGTAGGACAGAAATGGATCGATTTGAATTGATGGGGAATGAACAGTAATTAAAAACCCGGGGAAGGGAAACTTACAAGTCGCGCGGGGCCGTGCTCGATTATAGGTGCCCAGATACAGTATTTAAAGCTTGTAGGGAAAGGTATTGGAGGGAGACATGTATCTCGGGATCGGCAATGACTTGACTCGAGAGCTAGAGGACGTCTACTGTAAGGCCTAGGTATCTCAGGTAGGTCCTTCTCCCTAAATATACCGTACCGAGGTCGGGACGGGAGTTGATACCGAGTAAAACTTCCCTAAAAGTCGGCCTCTGTTCCGCATCTGAAAATGAGGTCACTTCCCTGCATGTGATGTGGGGAAAAGGGACAAGGCCTTGGGCCGGTGACTTGAGATCTTTACCGTCTGGCGCTAGTACCAATTGAGGCACAAGACAACAGTCGAAGATTCAAGCCACGGAGTCAAGGAGAAACAGAAAATGCGGGCAAAGTTCACGCTTTGTCCCCGCTTGCCTCATTGGGACCAAAGTAAACACTAGACCCATGCCGCCACGTCCATCCCTGTCCAAATCCAACAAAGCACAAAGCACACCGCGGGTTGGGTTTTGGCTTTGCAACGGAGGGACGGCGGTAGTGTTTGCATATACCATGAATATTTTGAATCTGGCATTCTAACATCCCATGAATGACTAACGAAACCACCATTCGTCAATGCCAAAACGCAAAAGTTTAGGCGTTGACAACGACTCTTTTGCCGTTCGCTGGCATTCTTTTGCCGATATGAACACACCCAGCGCGGATATTATGTCGTCACCCGATCCTCTAAACGATACCGCTGAACAAAGTGTCATGCCCCCTCCATCCACGCGCCGTGTCGTCCGCAGCACCCAACGGTCCAGCCGCTTCTCCTCCATGGGCTTAGGAACCTCTCCTAGGAAACAGACTTTCGAACTCGAGGTTGGAGATAATAAAGCGCCCCAGAAATTACTAGTTACGGTCGAGACAGAGGAGCCAAGCGCGACTGCAGGCCCCAGCAGCGCGCGACGAAAACTATTCCAAGACAGCCCTTACCTACCGATATCGCGACGCAGAGAAATGGCGACCACCACGACGACTGTGCCGCTAAAGGGCGCGATCGAGGACGATAACAGCGCGACTCCTAGGAAACGAGGACGACCGAGGAAAACAAATGGCACACCGCTACCCAGTGCAGGCACCAAGAGAAAGTCAATAACACCGATGCATGGAAGCCCACGGAGGAGACAACGCACGGCAACAGATACAGATACACCAAATAAATCGGCAGGCAGTAATGCGCAGCCAACACCAGGAACAAAAAGACGAGGTCGGCCACCGAAGAACCGTCCTGTCGACCCACCAAATCCCACAGAAGACGAACAAAACGCGAGGGGGATTTCAGAGGCGAGCGACAGATCACAGAGCCAAGCTCTCGATAAGATTGAGGTTGCTGGTGATGCCTCCGACCTACCCTCTCTCCGCGCCGACGACTCACAAGCCGATAACGATGTGACTCTGGTCATCACGCCGTCAGAAGCTGAGGCAAATCAACTACGCGCAAACCGAACCGCGAATAATAGCGCGCCTGCTCAGCAATCAGAACCGGACTCGGATATTTGGATGGCAACACTAGACGATGAACCAACGCCGCGGCCTGGAAGTCGCGCAACCCAAAATGCGCCTGCTCCTTCAAGTCCAGACCATGGACGAGCAGAGGACTTCTCAGATTTTGGAGATTATGGCTATGGTCCAGCTGGAAGCGACGTATCTTCTGCAGACGAACATCAGAGCGACACCCGTTCTGGGAATGAAGATACGGTCGCAGCGGGTGAAGACTTTAGCATGATATTCATGGACTCGCTCCCCTCGCTACAAGCGAGTATGCGCAGCTCTGTTCGAGAGATCGCCGAGAATGACATTGGCGAGGAAACCAGCCTAATTATTAACAACACTTTGGAGTCTCTACGGCAGTCTCTGCAGGATCGCGACAGACCTAACGTGAACAAAGAAACCGCTGAGCAAGAAAGGGATCCCCAACCAGCGGCACCCGCTCCCGCTGAGCCTCAAGATGAGCGCCGGCAATCTACTATTCGCCCACCCATGACCTTTTCACCTAACCGCAACATATCTTCCATATGGCGTCAGACTCCGCGAAGAATGGGCTCTTCTCCATTACGACGGCAAGTGTTGCAGTCGAACACGCGAGACAATTCGGATGCTGAATATCGCGGATCTCCTCTGGCAACACAACGACAAGACGCCTCACGTCTCGGAGTCGATAATTCAAACTTGTACGACGACTCTTTCTCAGAAATACCTGATGCAGTACTTGAAGCAGCTACTCCTCGCCGTCCCCGAGCCATGGCCAAGAAAGCACCGTCAGAAACAGAGGATGTTCAAATGGAGGATGCAGACCTTATCCAGTTTGAAGATGAGCCCCAACAAGCAGAGATACAGCAACAAGAACAAGTGGTTGAAGAACAAAGTACAGGAGCAGAACAGGAGGCAGTCCAAGAGCAAGAACAAGAGGAGGCTGGACCTCTGGATGCTTCGGTCGGAAGTGCTATCTCTCGTTCGGATGGCGGGCGCCTCCCCACCCCTGACGACACCCCTCCAAACATCGATTTTGGAAACAGTACTGCTCCCAAGTCAACAAGCGTATCGCAGAGTCCTGATAGGTCTGCATCTTCCAGAGACTCACCGCTGAGGAACTCATCACCTGGGCCCGCCACCGAAGCTGAGGTACCACTTGAAGCGATGGAGATTGAAGACGAAATTATTGATCAAGCTGTTGAAGCTACGGGGCAGGTCACCAGCGGGGCTGTTGTTGAAGTCGAAGGAGCCGACAACGATGATGAGTCTATCATGGGAATGACTATCGTGCCTGAACCTGATGACCATTCTATTCCAGATGATCAGCCCTTGGAAGAGACCGTCGTGGAAAGTCCGGTCGAAGAGGAGCCTGAAGAGTCCCAAGAGATTCCGGAAATCGTTGTACTTCATCAACCCCATTTGTCCTTAGAGACCGAAATGCAGCAGCCAGAAGTCACGCCACTAAATCAACTTACATCGCCTATCCAGGAACCTCAATCGTTGCCTGATGTGCCACCAGAGAGAGTCAGACGTCCCACATTGTCCCCCATTATGAGGGCGGGGAGAGCTTTGCAGAGCGTGACCTCAGATCCCCCAACGCCAGAGGCCCGCGACCATCATTTGCGAAGCCCTTTCAGGCGATCTGCTTCTAGAGAGTTGGGTCCAAGGGTAGCTCAGCCAAATTTACGGACGAACGCGAGCCCTGGGAAGTCACGTCCATTCACCGAAACTGCCCAGATCTCCAAAGGCGATGAAGTTTATGACGACCCCTTTGGAACAAACACAAGACATACAGGTCAAGCTAGCTTTATGGAAGCTCTTGAGAGGAGAAGTGCTGGTTCGTCACCACGCCATCGCCGGACAATGTCCAGAGAATCTGCTGCAAGCTCTACGCATTTCCAGGCTCCCAGTGAGGGTGGAATGAGTTGGGTTGATAGAGAAGGTCCTATAAGCGACAACCTCAGAGGAGATGTACCCCTTGAGGCTTTTGCACGATCAACAGTCCGGCCTCCCGAACCGCAGCCCATTTCTAATCACCAATTGAACGGGACGGTGGATGACGCAGATGACGAAACCGAAGATGCCGGCGATGATATGGATCTGTGGGAGTTTGAAGCCCAAAGGTCTAGCCCCCATGCAGCCCGTCAGCCTTCGCCAGCGAGGAAACCCGAGTCACCTATTCCTAGGCGAAGCACTCTTCCTAGCCCTTGGAGGAGGCAGGTTAACAGGGGAACGCAACGCCCTCCAACAACTACAGATCAGATAAGGAATGGATTGGAAAACAGTGAAAAACGCCTGGAAGAAGAGACCGCGCTTCAAACTGATAGCATGGATGTTGTGCAGGATGAACCATCTCAAGCAGAGGAGTATTCTCTTGTTGCTCAAAGGGAGGTCCCCCAAGAATCTGATAAGGCTCCTGCTACCGCCAAAGCGAGCCGTTTCGACCTCTCAACTTTCTTCTCTTCACCGGCCGCGATCCCAGGCATGTTGGCTGACAAGCTCTCTCCTCTTAAGAAGATGTCCGTCTTTGGAGCGCGGCCCACTGAGACCGAGCCTAAGCCGAGAGAAAGAGCCCACATCCTCCCGACAAGCTCCATGTTCCCACAGCTACCACCACAGGAACTTGTACCTCGAGGGCAGCCAAGGGCAGGCTTCTTCTCCCCTATACGCCCTGTTCAGCCCCTGGCGAGGGAAGACCTGTCTGAAGAACTTGAAAATGATGAATATTCTCGATCAGATTCACGGTCGAACATGTCATCGCCAAGTCGACAGGCAACGGCTTCTCCAAGACAAGAAGAGCACGACGCTTCTATGCAGGCAACATCTGAGCAACAAAATGAGAGTGAACAGCAGGAAGAGCTCGACGAGGAGGGCACAGAGGTATTTGAAGAAGAAAATGAAGAAGAAGATCAAGTATCCGAGCCACTGCCTTCAGTGCGTCAGACAATGAACTTTACTCCTCAACGAAGAAATCCTAGTCAAAGTTTCTTCAAGGCTTCAACTCAGGCTGCTGCCCCCGAGCCTGCTCCGATCCCGAGTAGTAGTGCCACCACTCCACCAAGGATGCAGCTCACTCACGCCGATATACAAAAGTGGCAGCAGCAAACATCCAATGCAAGTGACGATTCCCCCAAGCGACCCACGGCTAGCACTCTCCTCCGTCCTTTACCTCCAAGAAACGCTTCCCCAATCAAATCAAGTCTTCGTTCGCCACTTAAGCCTCACACTCCTGGCCGTGTGGTTGAGTTTACCAGCAGCGTCCTATCTCCCATCGAGCAAGCCAAGGTTCGACACCAACGTCGACTGTCCAACTCCTCAGCAGCATCTCAGTCAAGCACAGGTGCCCAGTATCCTCGCGTACCCCATCAGACTGCCAACAAGGAGAACAACACCATCCCACAAATCCCTATATCTAACGAAAAACTCCCAACAAAACAGACCCACCCTGAACCACTCTCCCAAACGGTCTGGACACGAAGACATTGGCTGCTCTTGGATGATCTTGTTCAACAGCGACGTCAGGGCCCCTTCAGGCTTCATTTTGAACGCTGTTCAGACAAATACCTTGGAAGGCCGGCCTCAAGCAAAGGCGAGTCAATGACTCTGAAGCGTTGGCACTTGGACTGCGTCGACGCTTTCAGAGCACAAGTCGGCGGCTGGGATGAGGCTGAAGTGGTCAAAAGATTAGTTGGCTTAATTCTGGGCGGAGAGAAGAGGAGCCAAGGGGCTGAAAAACCAGCGCGAGTTATGTTTCACTAAACGACATGAAAGAATCCTGTTTTTACAAAAGGTTTGGTTTTTCTTTTTGTATAGAATCACGAATATGGCATAGTTAGCATTTCATGAGGCGTTCTGTTTCATGAGTAGGTGGCTGTTATTGTTTGGAGATACCAGATTCCGCGTGTTGTATCCTTTATGCTTTCTTTGCATACGATTACATACCCCTGTCTTGCAGCGCAGTCTGTTGGGAGCATCAGCATATATATAGTTTTGGTTATTCGTTTCAGATATGTTTGTGCAAGCAAATGAACACATGTATGCGCGCTGTTCAGCATAGACGATTGTGTTCCCTCTTGCAACGCCTGGTCTAAAAGCGTGAGATATTACATACAACAACTATTGGGCCTCTCATTGCTAATCTATTCCAGCATGGAAGCTTGGTTCGTGTAGAGTACATCCACCACACTGCTCAGTTTCTCGATTGTTGCCAGAGCCGCATCATAGGACTCATCTCGGTGCGTCTCGTCAAAGATGATGAGACAACCAGCGCCCTGGTCTAAAACACCGATAATAACCTTGTCCAAGATCATTTGAGACAGCTTTCGCTCAACCTGCTGAGTGTCAAGGCCAACCATTCTGGCAATGTGGTCGATTTCGACGCGTGAGAAAGGCTCGATGACTTTGATGAGATTCTGCTCCAACATAGCATCGTAGAGGCGGCGAAGGTGATTGCGGATGAAAGCGTCGCTACCGAGCTCATATCGGTAAGAAGAAAGTGCTCGCTCATACTCCTCCAGTGATCGATTCGAGTGTGCGCGAGCGATGGCCTTCATAGCCTCTAGGTTCTTGCCAGCGTACTTCAGGGCTTGCTTGGAAGTCATTAGGTTGTTGACATCATCAACGAGGTTTAGCATGATCTTGCAAAGAAGCATGTACTGAAGAGCAGCCTGAGCTCGGGTGCTCTCGTCTTGAGAGTGGTAGCCATCGAGGGCCTCGATGAAGTAAGAGAAAGCGGTATTGAAGTCCTTGTCCTCAGCATGAAGCATACCACTCTGCATGTCGAGGTTAGCCTGTAGCATCGGAGGGGTGTACACGCTGGCGGCACTTGTTCGTGCACTGGTAAGAGCAGCGCGGGACTTGGGGATGTTGCCAAGGGCGTGGTAAACTCTTGACTCGAGGAGCTGAACTTCGACGAGTCGGAGCTTGTCATCGAGGCGCTTGAGCTCGCGAAGAAGGTTGTTAATGAGACCAAGGGCTTCGTAGTAGGATTGTTTTGCCATCTGGAGAGTGACAAGGCGAACCTCGAGGTCCTGTCGCTGAAACGCGCGGCGCTCGGCGGTGGCCCATTCTATACAGTCCTTGGTGACGGAGATTTCGATATCGGTGCTATCGGGGATTTCCTTGATGAGGTCGAGCAGTTGGCGGACTATATCACCGCGTTAGCTAGCTGTTATACCTGGAGGCAGAATCATGTGGCGTTGAGAACATACCAAGCTTTGCTGACTTGGCCTTTGCGAAAGAAGAGAAGACCGTTCTACTCTCCTTGACCAGGGTCACCAACTCTTGGGTATTCCTGTCGTATTTGTTAGCGGGGCACAGGAACAGCGGTGTTGAAGACTGCGCACTTCTCATCTCGATACAGCTCTCCTAAGCTGATCAGAGCAGTCTCATACTCGCGAGTGGCAGCATCGGATGTGGTGCTGGGAGCCTTGGAGATGATGTCCTTGTAGATGGCCTCAGCCTTTCGAGGGTCAGACTTGGCGAGCTTCTGTGCTTCCTGGACCCTCGCCGATTCGGCCGCCGCCATTGTGAAGAATGTGTTTGCGCGTGTCGCTGGGTATAATCGCGGGTGATAGTTTGTGCGCTATGAAGGCGGAGACGAGACGTTGGGGGCGCTGGAGAGTCGTGGTCGTTATCTTGAAGTTGTTTGGTTAGAGGTATGTTGAAGCAATAGCATAGCGAACAGCTACCTAACCTTAGCCTCCAGGTTGCCAGAGCACGACGTAGGCCAGTAAAAGAGTGGACCTTACAGCCTCATGGAGGAAACAGCCCAGGCCCAGGGCAACGATTGGATCAACGATGATGCAGTGACGGGCTTTTATTGATCCGCATATACAGATGGGTACGTATCTGATCCTATGTGGCGGCCCTTGCCCTGCTATTGCCCGTCGAATGGAAGCTTCCCGTCCCCGGAAGAGAAGCCGGCGCGACCCTTCTAAATGCGAAGCGAATCAATCATGCCGACAGCTAAAATTTCAGTCCTAACTCGGAGCTTCCAAACTTCCTGATACCTACTATCCACCACAGCCACTGTACACTTACTTAAGTGCATCAGCCTATCTCCGTCGAGTCTTTCTCGTCATTTACCTTGTTCCTACCAAAATCTATAATACAATTCCTCACATACCCTCACAATGTTCCGCCAGGCCATTGCTACCTCATCCCGCGCCCTGCGAGCTGCTCCTAAGGTCGCCGTTCCCCGACCTTTTATTCAGTCGCAATTCCAGGCTGCGCCCGCCTTTGCTCTCAGATCCGTTCAGCCTGCCGTGTCGAGATGGTACAGTGACGCTAAGGAGACTGAGGCCAAGCCTGCTGAGGAGGCCAAAACGGAGGAAAAGCCCGCTGAGGGTGAGAAAGAGAGCGATCCTCTCGCTGAGCTCAAGAACCAGCTGGCAGCCAAGGAGAACGAGGTTAAGGACTGGAAGGTTTGTGATAACTGGATGTGCAATTTGGCATGGTAAAACTGACTCTCCTGCAGGATAAGTGTATGCGCACCGTCGCCGATTTCCGCAACCTCCAAGAGCGTACCACACGTGAGGTCAAGGCCGCCAAAGATTTTGCGATCCAAAAATTCGCCAAGGATCTCGTCGACAGCGTTGACAACCTCGACCGCGCCCTTGGAATGGTTCCCAAGGATAAGCTCAACGCCCCAGAGCGACCCGAGGGCCTCGAGGATCTCGCCAACCTGTATGAAGGTCTCAAGATGACCGAAGATATCCTCATGAACACCCTCAAGAAGCATGGTCTCGAGCGACTCAACCCCGAGGGCGAGAAGTTCAACCCCAACGAGCAGGAGGCCACATTTATGACTCCCCAGCCCGATAAGGAAGACGGCACTGTTTTCTTCGTTCAACAGAAGGGCTTCAAGCTTAACGGCCGAGTGCTGCGCGCCGCCAAGGTCGGTGTTGTCAAGAACAAATAAGCATATCGTTCTTTCATAATGGCTGAGATGTGTGTTTTGATAGCATCTCCACACTCAATCGCATCTTGCGTGTATTTTTAGACGAGGTTATATCGGTTGGCGTTGGCTCTATGTATAATGCTCCCCTCATGATGGTCATTTTTCAACTTGTATGATGGTTACAGATGCTTGGACAGGACAAAAGTTTCAAAAGAGCTGGGACATTTGTACATAAATAACGAGACGTACATGTATAACAGTGGGGGCAACTGGGCGGTATAGTCGACCTAAGAGGGTCTTTTCAGGTCATGATCCATAATGTCCAGAGGTAAAAATGAATACCTACTATGATGATGATGAGGCATGTGAAGCGGACCTGTGCAAAAGATAGTCATAATGTGGTCACATAATGGCGAAATAAACCTAGAGAGAAAGCAATTATAAGCTGGCTGTTAATCTCACCGGCGCCGTTGTGGCAAAGATTTATTTATCTGGGTTCACAAGCCGAAGCTTGCATTTGAGAATATAACTCAGTGTTTATTCACTCGGTGATCCCTCAGAGGAGTCATCAATAACATGGATCACAGCCAAGGCAAGGCACTGATTTAGTTGTAAACTTTGATTCCAGCAATCCTGTCAACTCAGTACAACCGCACGCCAAAACACTAACAAAAGGAAGGCCATCAAAACACCAGGCACCTCAAATTGCCCGGTGCCAACGGTAGGATACATATAAAAAAACAGCCTGCAACTCTGGTTGCTCCCCTATCTCATAAGTCACTTTCAGATAATAATAAAAAGCAAATACAAATGTGCGCGCTTCCTCCCATGCCATGCCATACTTTCGATCCCGAACTATGTGCCACCTATCCCTCCGAGATACATCTCTTGTGTAGGTGAACGCCTGCGATGTCCTCTCTCTGGGCCTGTTTACCTACCACGAGTGAGTTCCTTATCAGTGTTAAAACAGCAATGAAGGTAAAGAAATAACGTAAATGTGAGTCGTTATAAGAAACAATGTTCATGCGATGGTCATTACAACTCTTTTAATGCTGGCCCATCGAGCTGCCTTTTCTTTATGTGGCCTCCTGGCCTCCCCTCCCCAGGAGAAGATGACAGGGGAGGCTTTGCAAGACAATGATGAGTAGAAAAGTTCCTCAATCCAAGAAAACAATCCTTCATCCATCTCTGGCCGTGAGCGCCTTTAGAGGATTGGACACCTTCTCTTCTTCCTCTTAATATGTCCCACACCAGGTGTTGATGACTTGCTCTCCTTGGAAGAACCCGAGGCTGCTGCCGCCTCGATGGTTTTCCGGTCATTGGCGACGACAGTGTTGATAGCCTGCTCAAAAATCTCATCGACGCCTGACATTTCCTTGCTACTGCACTCCATGTACTGCGCGTTCATTTTCTTGGCAACAGCCATACCTTGCTCCGTAGTGACCGGAGTGAGACCTTGCGTCTTGAGCATATCAATGCAAGTCTTCTTGTAGCGAAGATCTGACTTGAGACCCACAAGAACCAGAGGAGTGTATGGGCAGAAGTGTAGAACCTCGGGGTACCACTATAGAAGGGCGATTAGTATAAGATGCGCTGAGGGAAAGGATATAATCATACCTTATCAAGAACGTTGTCTAGCGAGTTCGGACAGTCGATAGCAAAGCATACAAAGATCAAGTCGGTCTCAGGGTATGAGAGCGGTCGGAGACGGTCATATTCCTCTTGGCCGGCTGTATCCCACAATGCAAGTTCCACAGTCTTACCAGTGGCTGAGTGGATAGGATAGGTGATGTAGTTTTCAAAGACAGTAGGCACATATTTCTGTGATTGTTAGTGTCGGTATGATGAGAATAGCCAGAGAGAGATGCTTACCTCTGGGAAGTAACCTTGGCTGTAGCTAATGAGCAAGCAGGTCTTGCCGCAACCACCATCACCGACGACAACAATCTTCTTGGAAAAGGTGGGCGCTTCTGTGACGTGAGTCGCTGCCGACTCGCGGCCCGTCGACGAGCTCATAGTGGTGCTGACGGTACCCTCACTGGAGCGCGTGCGCTGTTGACGTCGGATCTGCTCGTTGGTGTCAAAGTACGAAGTACGATACTGATGCGATGATGCCATGCTTGGGCGCAAGGCTGTGCTGCAGGGTCGGGAGTGCAGGCTCAAGCGCGAGTCTTTTAGAGGATTGCTTGGCCTTTTGGTAGAGATCGCCTTAAGAATGCGCTTCTGAGGAATGAAGAATGTTCGGCTGTATAGTGCTCGTGATGGTGCGGGGTGGAAGAGAGACAAAGCAATCGAGCGTTTAATGCGATGGAGCAAATGGGGGAGATGAGTGACGTGGAGGAGGAGGATGAGGACGAGATAAAGACCAAGAGGAAGACGATCAAGGGCCTAATTGAGTCGAGTTGAGATGTTTGGGGCTAAAAAGGATCCTTTGAAAGATGATATCTTGTCTGGTAGAGCTCCTTTGCCTATGTTGACTCGGTGTTTGAGTTGTTTGTTTGCTGCAAGTTTAAACTTAGTCGCTTCAAGACCAAGGGCAGAGAGTGGAAGGACTATGGGGAGTCAAGTCTCAAGTGTGGCTTTGTTGCACCACCAAGTTACCCGAGTAAACATGTTGACGGGGCAACTGCTATCTTTATCCGGGGGGTTACCTTACTTCATGCATCGGAGCTGAAAATGACGGAGATGATTGGTCCGTGCACGTGCTTCCTCACGAGAAAATTTACAAGCCACGGTCACTCACTTTCTCGCTTCTTTGTTCACGACAAGGTCCTGCTACCTACTGAGTTAGCGCGTGTTTGCTCCGTATCCATTCAGTCTCTGCCTATTTGTTTCTCCTCTCTCAACAAATTCTCGTCTCTCTTCTTCCTTTCCTTTCCTTTCCTTTCTTTTCTTTTGTAAACTTGTCGTCAACAACGCAGCAAAGAACATCCAGCCATGGACTGGAAGACACCAAGCAAATACATTACTCTCGTATCTGGCGATGGCTTCGAGTTTGTCGTTCTACGCGATGCTGCTCTTGTCAGTCCTATCATCAAGGGCATGCTCGACGTGAGAAGCCAGTTCGCCGAGGCTAAAGAGGCTCGTTGTGTCTTCCAAGAGATGAGGTAGGTTAACATCATCGACATGCCATCTTCTGCAGATGGCCTGCTCCGTGGATTGATGACACTTCATGCTTTCCAGACAGAACAACCGAGATCTCTCAGTTGGGCTACATGACTACTCACTACACTTGACCTGACCACACGCACTCCAACCCCGGTCGTGCCTTGTCTCTGCTAAACCATTTCAAACCTGGAAGAGCTAGACGCTGATGATGATTCTATCAACAGCGCCATGGTCCTTGATAAGGTTGTCGAATACTTCCACTACTGGTACCGCTACCGTAACAGCGAGGATGTTCCCGACATGGAGATCCCGGTCGAGCTCTGCCTCGAACTGTTGGCCGCGGCAGATTACCTGGGCCTGGACCAGTATGCAGCCCAGCCATGCATTGCTACAACCGATTGCTTCGATACTAATCTCATTTAGGGCGAATATGGGCATGAAGTGAGAAGCTGCGAGATCTTGACTCAGATATCCGCATGAAAAGTATGCCCTAATCTCAGCAATTAATGAAGGCGTTTTGGAGTTGGTATGGTAAGGCTCAGTCGGGCTTATGCAGCTCTCATCAGACTTTACAGTTTATCTTGGTTCTTGCGAATGACGGTCATGGACTTGCACTAGAGATGATTGACACACGTCGAACCAGATCACATCTAGTTTCTTGATTCCGACTCCAACATGCCTAACCGTGACTTGTCACCATTTCAGCATATGCGTTCTTCTCTTCACTCCTCCGTGGGTCGAACGTCTATTAGATATGGAAGATTAAAGTAACCCTCTCACTCTGCGTGACTCAGTTGACGCATTGAGCTTTCGCTTTTTCTGAAGGGCAACATTTCTTGATTGTAAAATTGTTTTAGGTGAGACCTTTCAATGTATGTCATGAAGAGTCTGCACTTCATGCACTCTCAGAGTAATCCCATGAATAAGAAGACAAGAGCAGCGAGTCCATCGTACCTAAAACTCACTTAACCCGATGGGTGCGGTATGAAAGACAAGGATATGTTGACTCATGGCCAAGCATTACCACGCAATGGTCACAGCCCCAGGCAAAGACTCGACCTTAATTCACGGACTCACATCAAGAGTCTGGGTATCCTTGTCCTTGGTGGTTCTTCTATTACATCTCAGCATGGTGGAGATCCAGGACCAATTGTAGCGCTGCCATGCCTCTAATAGGAGAAAAAATGGCTATGAAGGCTTAAGCTTATGTGATATAAACGTTTGTCTCATTTCAATATCTGAGTCATTGTTTTAGGCAGGAAAGCATGGGACTGAATGATCCATTGCTTGGTGCTATCGCTGTAAGCAGTTGCTTCCCCATAAAGGAAACCAGCTTCTGTTTGTGAACCCACTCAGCCTCAACTTTCCATCTACAACTACAATTTCACATCAGCACAAAAAATGGCTGCAAACACATTCGAGACGCAGGGCGTCCGAGTTGCAGTAGAAGGATGTGTGAGTTTCCTCAAACAATAGAGAAGTCGAGATGACATTAACAACCTAAGGGCCATGGCACATTAGATGCAATCTACGCTTCAGTGGAAGAGTCTTGTAAGCAACGTGGGTGGGATGGCGTCGATATCCTCATCATCGGAGGCGATTTTCAGGTATTTTCAATTCACGTTCAGCTTCAATGTCCTTGCAGTTAGTTTGCTCACATCGCGTCGCAGTCCGTACGAAATGCTGCAGATTTGAGCATCATGTCTTGCCCTGTCAAGTACCGACGCCTAGGAGATTTCCCCAAGTACTACTCTGGTGAACAAAAAGCACCCTATCTAACAATATTCATCGCTGGAAACCACGAAGCTAGTTCACATCTCTGGGAGCTTTATTATGGAGGCTGGGTAGCACCCAATATCTACTACATGGGTGCTGCCAATATCTTGCGCTTTGGCCCACTACGCATCGCTGGATTGTCTGGTATCTGGAAGGGGTTTGACTATCGAAAGCCGCATCACGAGAGGCTTCCATTCAGCGGTGATGACGTTAAGTCGTGGTACCATATTCGAGAATTCGATGTTCGAAAAATGCTTCAAGTCCGGACTCAGGTGGACGTCGGTCTCAGCCACGACTGGCCACGTGCAGTTGAGTGGCATGGGGACCATGCAGAACTTTTCAAAAAGAAACCCTTCTTCAAAAATGAGTCCACGGATGGTACCCTTGGCAGCGTGGCAGCAGAGTATGTCATGGACCGCCTGCGACCTCCTTACTGGTTCTCGGCCCACATGCACGTCAAGTTCGCTGCGGTCAAGGTATACAAAGACGCCGAATCTGTGACCCAAGAGATCAAGGAAGTTCTCGCCACAGCTTCAGCCCCGGCTCCGGCGCCGGCTCAAGCTACCGAGGCCAACCCTGACGAAATAGACTTGGATATGGACGACGATGATGACGAGGATTCCAAGGCTGAACCAGTTGCAGAAGTCGAGAAGAGCGAGGTTGAGACGAAAGAAGCTCCAGAGGCATCAAATGAAGTGTCGGATGAGCTAAGGGCACAGCTTCCAGCATCGTTTGCTCGCCCTCAACCAAAGAAAACACCAGGTCAACCAGTACCTCCTGGAATCACCAACAAGGAGGTTCGATTTCTTGCCCTTGACAAGTGCGAAGGGCATAGACACTATTTACAACTGTGCGAGATTCAACCTTTCAAGCCAGAGACGAGTTCTCAGTACCCCCCATCCCAGGAATCACCTCGCTGGAGGTTACAATACGACCCAGAATGGCTCGCAATCACTCGCGTCTTCCATGACTCCTTGATTGTTGGTGACCGAAGTGCACAGACGCCTCCTGATCTTGGGGAGGAGCATTATCTGCCCCTCATTGAAAAAGAGAGAGAATGGGTCGAGGGAAATGTTGTCAAGAGTGGAAAGCTAGATGTTCCTTACAACTTTGAGATCACAGCACCGCCTCACGTGCCAGGTTCTCCCGAAATTGTTAACGAGCAGCCAGAAGAGTATACCAGCCCTCAAACGGCGGCGTTTTGTGAACTTATGGGACTTGCAAATATATGGAATGCCACAGATACAGAGAGGCGACAGAGGAAAGCACAGGGACCGCCCAAAACTGATCAACGATTCTCTGGTCGTGGCAGAGGTCGTGGAGGCGGTGGAGGCGGTAGGGGGCGAGGAAGGGGGCAAGGGAGAGGACGTGGAGGAAGATGGTGATGGAATTGAAGTTTATATACGGAGTAGATGAATGGGCGTATGCAATAATCACAAATATAAGAATATTTTAGCGGCCTCAATAGAACCGCCAATGACTACGGCATATTTAAAGGATTTAACTCTAGTTCAAATAGTTGCAAACCGTCTTCCAAAAAGCTGTAATAAACAGTGTCAAGGTTCGAGTAGCGTCAAATGCACAGCATCAAGCTTACAGTACCTGGTAGGCGGATGGTGGGGTTCGTGGGATGACCAGGCTCCGTAGCAACCAAACCAATCAGGAAATAGAGTAAACAGTGCAACTGTCCTACGCCATCGCTAACGTCCAACTCGCTCAACCTTACCTATTGCACCTTTGCCCTATCACCCTCAGCAATAAGGTTTCAGCCGCAACCCCTTACCAAAACAATACACAAAGCACCATCCTAGCAGTTTACGATTCTGCAGTATCGCATCTAATTATTCACGAGAAAGATTAGAGGCATCTGTCTCATTTTACCCAGCAGCCAGCCTTGTTTGTCTCCCCTCACTATAACCCATGATTGATTGCCCCGCTAACCGCTGGAATGCAATAGCATCGCAACTCGACCTTTTGAGACCTCGTCGAAATCGCTGCTTACAATGGCTCAAGCCTTCTTAACTACCGTGTTAGTCTCTCTGCATTATTCCCAAACGCCTTGACCATGGAGTCCCCGTGTTCGCCGCCGCACACCGCCAGCATGTTTCGATACTTGAACCCGAAGTCGCTCTTGACGATGCAGCAGTTGGAGACGACCATTATACCCGTCTCCCTATCTGGAGAACCTCTGATGTTTGTGGATGAGTTGACACTGACTAACCCGGGAACTTTGGTGAATAGTAACCAGCGGACGAGAAACCAGTTCCGCCCGCGCGTGGGCAAGGGCGGCTCGGCCAGTTATCAGTTGCGACAATACGCTGAGGTGACGCTCGGCGGTGGCAGCCTGCGCAAGGTTGTCAAGCTTCCAGAAGGCGAGGATGAGAACGAATGGTTAGCTGTCAACAGTGAGTTTACGAAAGTTGTTCTTTTGTGAGGAGGCATGGCTAATTTGATGGCTCAGTGGTGGACTTCTATAACCAGATCAACCTTCTCTATGGTGCCATTACCGAGTTCTGCTCACCACAGTCATGCCCTGAAATGAAGGCTACTGATGAGTAAGATTCCCTGAGTCAAGGACAACTCAGAAACTGACAGGACTAGGTTCGAGTATTTGTGGCAAGACAATGAGAACTACAAACGTCCAACCAAGATGCCTGCGCCAGCATACATTGAGCAACTCATGTCATGGGTGCAGGCGAATATTGACAACGAACAAGTCTTGCCCAGCAAGATCGGTAAGCATTGGATCGTATCATAGTCTCGGGGACTTGCACTAATAGTCACCAGGCGTGCCCTTCCCCAAATCATTCCCAGCGCTGGTTCGCCAGATCTTCAAACGCATGTACCGTGTATATGCACACATCTACTGCCACCACTACCCCGTGATTCGTGAGCTCGGTCTCGAACCGCACCTCAACACGAGCTTCAAGCAGTACGTGCTGTTTGTTGATGAGCACGGCCTGGCGAGTGGTAGAGATTACTGGGGTCCTCTTGGTGATCTGGTGGACAGCATGCTCAAGAGCGACTAGGAGAAGTTTGAGGGTGAAGGAACTGGTACAGGTACTGACACTTAGCAATTGGGAGTTTCGGGCGTTTGAGGAAAGGTTCTAGAGTGTAAGAAGCTGTTTGGCTGTATGATCATGATTGATAGGGGAGTAGGTTGTTAGTTCGTTCTGTGCCATTGGGGGGTTCCGCACTATAGTAGCTTGCATGTGCATTAACAAGAATGAGTCCTGAGGGAACAGAAAGTCATTTATTCCAGTATCCCATAAACCCCTTGGCCTTCTCTGATAGAAACTCAAGAGCCAAGAGTTGCAATGGAAATGTTTGATATTTGATGTTTGATGTTGAGTTATGTAATCAGAAAGTGGATGCCTGGAACGGACGTAAGGCATCGAGCGCCCGAAAATTGCCGAGACCCCAGGCTAGCAACAACCTCCAAGTGAATTGAAGCCGAACATCATCCATCACACCCTTCTTGTTATCTGCCTCCTCCTTGTCCTCCTCCTCGTCAAAGCAGCCGCCGTCATGTTCTCGCGACAGGTTCTCCGCGCCGCCCGAGTCGCCGCTCCTCAGCGAGCCCTCGCCCTCCGAGCCGCCCCCGTCCGATCCTTCGCTGCCGCTGCCTCGACCGAAGTCAAGCCCCCGATTTCCGTCTTCGGCGTTGATGGCACATATGCTACTGCTCTGGTAATAATGCACCACCTACAATGAAGAAATCACCGTACCTCGAACCTTTCATGTGTCAATTGGCTTCGTAGGCCAATTGCACTCCCCTCGTCATGGCACAGAAACCTCAATTGGAATCGCGTCGTCGCTGACACGCAATTTTTTCTTTTGCGTCAATTTAGTACACTGCCGCCGTCAAGACCTCGAGCATCGACGCCGCTGCCGATGCCCTGAACAGACTCGGCGCTCTCCTCGAGAAGGACCCCAAGCTCGCCGCCATCCTGTCCGCCCCTACCCTCACCGTGGCCGACAAGAAGGCCATCGTCCAGGAGCTCGAGAAGCAGATCAACGCCAAGGACGAGACCGTCAAGAACTTCCTCGCCACCCTCGCCGAGAACAACAGACTTGGACTTATCCCCGGTGTTGTCGAGAAGTTCTCTTCCATCATCTCTGCCGCCCGCGGTGAGGTCGAGCTCACTGTTACCAGCGCCCAGGTACGTTTGGGGATATACGAATCGACATGGGTTGGAAGTGGGAAGCTACGTCACAGCATATCGATATTAGGCATATGACAAGGATGGATGAACAGATGGATATCATGGCATGGAACGTAAAGGACAATGGACTGACCTTGTCGTCTCTAGGCTCTCGACAAGCGAACCCTCAACCGATTGGAGACTGCCGTCTCCAAGTCTGCCTACGTCAGCCAGGGCCAGAAGCTCAAGGTCACCAATGAGGTATGTCTAGACCATACCATCACCACGACTCAACTCCTAACCCCTCCTTCAGGTTAACCCCGAGATTGTTGGTGGACTCGTCGTTGAGATCGGTGACCGAACCATCGACCTCAGCGTCTCTTCCCGCATCGCCAAGATGAACAAGCTCCTCTCGGACTCTCTGTAAAACCACCAACATAGTATACAAACTCTATTTAGTATCTTCTTTGCCTCGTCTCGTGGGATTCATCACCACGCAATACTGGCTCTAAGCGGCTTCCCCGTCGGCTTCTGTGGCTTCTCTTCCGCCTGTTTCTTTATGAGTCCTCCAAGCCCATTTGCTGTTGTATCCCTGGGCTGGAGGAGAAGAATGGGGAGAGCGTCGATGGAAAGAATAGTGTAGGAGGGTGTGAACAGGGCATGCAATAAAGCAGTTCCCCAATTGAATTCTCTTTGTTCGGCGTGATGACTTTCGGTTTGTCTGTCTGTTGTAAAAAGAATAGAAACCCGATGAATCTGAGACTTGGGAGACGAGCTCACACATAATCGAAGTTTTCACCCAATGAAACAACTGGTTTCAGTGACTTGAACATATTTATCATCTACCGCTATAGTGTGACGTCGTTGAATATACATCACAGACAACAACAATACGAGAGAAGAACTCTACTGTATCATGACTATTTGGATTGCTGAATGATATGTCTAAGCCCATAAACTCAGGATGCTTTGCTACTCCAGAACACGGCACAATTGGCCATGACTGCTTTTGAAAACGCCCAATTACCTATTCCTTCCTCTTGACAGCACCAATCTTTCAATTCACCCAGTAACCGTGCAAGTCTCTTATGCTTTGGTCTCGAACTCGTCATCATGCTCATAGTTGCCATCCTTCTTGTCATCTTTGTACCTCTCAAGCTGCTCAGAAACGTAGCTGTGCATGTGAGCATCCGCTTCAGTGCGCTCCCTGGCTCGATCCGGATCATCGTGATAGATCGAGTTGGTCACAGAGCGAGTATCATCGTCAAAGTCACTGCGGGCACCAATGGACCGGGCTGTGGACGACCGCCTGATGCGAGGCATACCAGAGTGAGGAACACCTGTCTCGACGCTTCGATGGAAGACATCATCGAAGTAGTGGCCCATTGCAACCGAAGGCGTACGAGGAGTATGAGGAAGACGGCAGTTGACGCTATAAAATGTTAGCAAACTTGTTCATCACCAGAAGAATACACATAACATACCCAGTATCATGAATCATGCGAGCAATTAGTCCAGTCCATCCACACTGGTGAGTAGCTCCCAGACCACGGCCGTCATCACCATCAAAGAATTCGTGGAACCAAAGGTAATCCTTCCAGTGCTCATCAAAGTCAAGACGATCATCACCGCCGTTGATGCTACGTCTTCCGTCATCGGTACGGGCGAAGAGGTGCTGCAAGCGGTGCTGAATCTCTTCAGATACCTTGCCCAGGTGCATGTAATCGCCACTACCAGTCGGGCACTCGACCTGGAAGTCTGGTCCGTAGAAGAGGAAGAACCGCTGGAGAGATTCCACAAGCAGGAAGTTGACGCAGAGCCAAATAGGTCCTCTCCAGTTACTGTTGCCGCCAAACAGACCACTATCTGAGTCACCTGGCACGTATCCAACACAGAACTTCTGGCCGTTCACGTCCATTGAGAATGGGTTCTCCTTGTGAAACTTTGAGAGTGAGCGAATACCGTGGTCACTGAAGAACTCATCCTCGTCGAGCATGCGCTTGAGGATCTTCTCCAATCGGTCCTTGCTCACGATGGACAACAGAATACGGTTGCCTTTACCTCGCTTTCGGATACTGGCCATGTTTCGCTCAGCGAGATCGCATCGGTTCTCAATGAACCAGTCAACTCTCTTCTTGAAAGAAGGGAGCCTGTTGATCAACTCTGGTTCCAGAGTAATGGTCGCATAAAGAGGGATCAATCCCACAAGCGATCGCACGGGCAGTTGCTGGATCCAGGGGCCGCCCCAGGAAATAGCATCATAGTAGAAGCCATCCTCCTCATTCCATAGAGACTTTTCGTCCTTGTGGCCGGTTCTGAAGGTCATCGCATCACTAATGAAGATAAAGTGCTCGAAGAACTTGGATGCGATGTCCTCGTAGATTCGGCGATGCTTGGCCAGCTCAAGAGCAATGTTGAGCATAGAGAGACAGTAGAACGCCATCCATCCAGTACTGTCGGCTTGCTCTAGGACACCGCCAGTGGGCAGAGGCTCTGAACGATTGAACAAGCCAATGTTGTCTAGACCCAAGAAACCCCCTTCGAACACGTTCTTGCCATCGGTATCCTTACGATTCACCCACCAGGTGAAGTTGAGGAGTAGCTTCTGGAATACGCGCTCTAGGAAGTCCAAGTCCTGACGACCATACATCTTGCGCTCAATCTTGAACGTTCTGAAAGTCGCCCATGCATGAACTGGGGGATTCACGTCACCAAAGTTCCATTCATATCTGGAGACATATTAGCACAAGATGTTCTGGGGATCAAGCAGATTTAGTCACTTACGCCGGCAACTGTCCGTTGGGATGACAGTACCACTCTCGAGTGAACAAATCAAGCTGCTTCTTGGCAAAGTCCGGGTCAATCATGGCCAACGGAATACAGTGAAAGGCACTATCCCAAGCAGCAAAGAAAGGATACTCCCATGAATCGGGCATGGACAGAATGTCGTCGCAGTGCATGTGTTTCCAGGCCGAGTTTCTGATGTCTTTCCGAGAAGCTGGAGGAGGTGGCATGGTAGGATCACCATTCGCCCAGTGATCCCAGATGAAGTGATAATGTTGCTTAGTCCACATCATGCCGGAGAAGGCTTGTCGCTGGATGTTGCGCAAATCATCTGCCATGGGAAGAGGACTGAGTCTGTAGTAGAACTCGTCGGCCTCCTCCTTACGGGTCTCAATAACATCATCGAAGTCTTCCTCGTCGAGGTAGTTGTCGTCTCTCCTGGTAAAGCGAAATCGAACGACTAAATCAGGAGTTAGTTACAAATTCTGCAGCCTGAAATCCATAGTACTTACCAGCACATTCGCCAGGGTTGACACCGCCATCTTCGTTAAAGTTGAACCATGCAGCACATTTTGTGCCAGTCTTGGCAGGGTTGACAGCTTCCTTCTCTCCGTCGACGATGTATCGGTGGAACGCATCCTTGACATAGGGTTGCTTGTTCTTTTGGTCATAGAGAGCCTTGAAATTGGTATCGTTTTCAGTGAACATGAATTGGGGCATCACATCGTCGCCACTGGAACCAACGCCGGGTGAAGGGGAGCACAGGAAGTGTCGCTCACCCAAGTTCCAGTGGTTAGACTTGGCCACATTCTCGTCGACGTATTGAATTGAAGGCTTCTTCTCCTCTGGCTCTCGGCCCCAGCTCCAGGTATTACGGAACCAAACCTGGGGGATGATGTGAAGAGGTGCAGGATCCGGGCCTCGGTTCCAGGCAGTAACTCGGAAGAGGATCTCATCGGGGTCATCGGTCTCTTTCGCGGTCTCGATGAAGATGTCCCAGTATCGGTCCTCGTCGAAGACGCCGGTATCAGTGATCTGGTACTCTTTATCTTCCTTTCCTCGTCGAGCGTTTTCGTCGATCAAGTCTTTGTAAGGGAACTTTTTCTGTGGATATTTGTAAAGGAATTTCATATACGAGTGCTATCATGACTAGTCAGCTTAGAGTGAGTTTGGGAAAGTGGGCGGATTACAGTCTAGTCAAATCGTTAGCAGGCCAATTGAGTGAAAGTGAAATGCGAAGATGACTGACAGGAGTATTATCGACGTGGAAGTGAGCCTCTTTTACACTCTCGCCATGGTTGCCCTGGGGATTTGAGAGGCCAAAGAGACGCTCTTTGAGGAATTCACTGCAGACTCATTAGCAGTCGTGGTTCATAACACTACAGCGACAATGAACTAACTCTTCCTCGTTCCAGAAGCTGAAGCCAATGTTTTGGTAGCCGTGGGTATCGCAGACACCAGCGATACCGTCTTCACCCCAACGGAATGCGCGCGATCGAGCGTGGTCGTGAGGGAAGTCTGAGGAAGCTGGTTAGTGCCGGTGATGAGATGCGACATTAAAAATGGTAACTTACGACTCCAGGCGTCTCCATCGTGACTATAATCCTCTCGGACTTTGCGTTGGTTAGCAATTGACTTATCATGACTGGTCCTGGTTGACCACTGTCAGAATCACGTGCCTGTAGCCCATTGTCTCTCAGCAACGTAAGGGCCCCATTTCTTCCAGTACTTGGTGCGATCGCGATCCTCCTTGAGGCGTCTCTCTTCCTCGGTGAGGTACTCGTGACCATCATGGACAACCATGGCTCAGAATGAAGCTCAATGGGAGCTCAACGAGGGGCGGGAAGCACGGGCGACGATCGACGAGGGGTAGCAACGGTTTACTTTGGTGGGGGATGATGAGGTCAATTGGAGCGTGTGGGGAAGCGGAGAGGGGAAGAATAACAAAGTAAAAGATGAAGGACGATGACGAGAAGCTTCAGGAGTGTAGGTAAGTCTCCTCTGGTGAGAATAGGATGAAGAGAAGAGGATGAAGAGAAGAGGATGAAGAGGAGGAGGAGGAGGAAGAGGAGGAGGAGGAGGTGAGAGGTTAGAAGAAAAGAGACCAAGTAAGAAAAACAGCTCTCTCAACGTTAGTCCTTAGTCTACCTACACCCTACCAAAAAAGCGAGACAGACAAGACACACGGGATCGACGATGGTGGGTAGGATCAAGAACGATAGTCTCGGTTGTGCCTGAGGCTTGGACTAGTTTGGCCGTCTTTGCTGTCTATTGTGGCTTCCTCCTATCTCGTTGAAGTTGGTTTTTTGTTCCTGGCTTCACTGATAACCCAAGGATAGCACATACGAGGATCGCTGACCAACCGATTGTATCAGCGGCCGCTGCATATCCTCCGCCGTTCTCCAAACATGGGTATTTGTCTCTGAATCGGTACTAGATCTGCCAGCTCTTGCAGTAGAGTGACATTGAACTCTACGGTTAGCAACAGGCGGTTAGACATGGACCTGGCTCTTCAACTCCACCGAGAACACCATCGGCCATCACTCGGCGGGCTCACAGTTAGATGAGAGCATTGCGGTTTTCTCTGACATGGGAATGCTCCGTCAACAAGAGAAACACTGCACGATACACAAGAGAGAAACAATCTTGTCATGTTACACATAATTTCTCCTATACGAGAGTCATGAAGCGTTCACTGCAGAGACAGCTTCTACATGCCGGTGAAGCATGGCGTTTGCATGGTGGCGTTTCATAGTACCTAAGCCGCAACGCTAAAAAGCTTCCTGAGGTTTTTTAATGCGGTAATGACGTATTTCCAGCAAGGAAAAAAAGGTTGAGCTCTGTTGTCAGAATCAAGGTTCTGGACCATGTTCTCTCATGAAAACAGAATATGACAGGTCCTGTTTTTGGTAGACTCGAGTCAAGGGAAATCGATAAAATCTACAAAATCAAGAGATACCAATAGGACGCGGATAGAGTTTTTTTCGGTTTACCCAGCTGGGGAAATCTTGGCTGGGGAAGGTCAGGATTCTCTTGTCTTATCCTTGTCTTCTCCAAACTTGTGCCCCATACATACGTGTTGCCCAGCTGCAGATGTGAGTATGTTGGAGATCCGTTCCCTGCCATCGATATGGGTCACATCATAATAACAACAACAAACACAACGTCTAAGACAGCATATAAACTACATGAATGTGCTGCCTGTTCCCAATTGAGATTTGTTGTAAAGTCATGGCAATTAAACCTTTGCTATGAGTACGGACAATTCTAACTCACTATCAAGAAAATTGATGATATTGTCAACGTGTTAGGGCCTGATGAGATGATTGCTTTTCCGGAGAGCAGCTTTCTTTGAGATGACGGACTTATCATGTTACCTCCTCGACTTTTGATTGAATTATGGGCGACCGTCTTACTGACGGGCTCAAAGCAAATGTAGCAACCCAACTCTAGGTGTGATCATAAATCTCTATGTGTTTCATTCGCTACTACCTACACTGCTTTGTGTTACCGAATACCCTGTATTGAGAAGTTGAGGCACAACCACTGCGACTTATATTATCTAAACGAGAAAGGGAGCATGCAATTGCTCAGTTTCTACCTATACTAGGCACAGAGAGAGGCATTGGATGAAGTCGAGGGTAGCAAAAACACCTTGTGATTGAACCTATGTATTCCGTTACTGGATACAGATGTCGTAGCCACAGCTCCAGCCTCATCGATATTTATGACAGAACCAAACAGATTTTCAAATGGATGTTTATTCCCGAATACATCACATGGAAACGAACTCAATTTCGGAACGACATCAAAATCTCGAGGTTCCAGGGTAGGCAATCCACTAACACGATCTCTCATGATCCCCTGCTAGGGGCTGAATCACCTAACCCTCAGGAGCAAGAAAACATCGTACCTGGATATAGGGTGTCAGAATAAACGTAACAAGGAGTCCCCTAAGCTTAGGCTAGATTTACCTGAATATTTTTATGGCTTCGGGTCAAGGTCCTGAGTTTTCTTGCTTCCCTTAAGCAACTCATGATGACTTCTCTCCCGAAAACTCCGATCCTTGTTGGACCTCAGACCACGGTTAATTGCAATAGCATTGTGGTAAACATTCGCTTTGCCGTTATAAACGACACAGCGCCTGTTCCTGAAAATGACGTTAAGCCACCTGTGTCGAGAGAGAAATCATTGGACCAGGACCATCCCATCCCTGGTGGCACCCAAAGGCCTAGGTGCAGAAGAGCTGCCCTGCTTAAAAAATCGCCAAGCTTATGCCAACCTGTTCCAAACGTAGCCATCCTACGCCTCGCCTCAACAAGCCTCATCCCATCGTCAGATGCCTACTCCGCCACCATAGGCTTCGTGGCTGTCTCGTCAATTCGTCGTCACCTTCGTTTATTCGCCATTTGGCGATCGGTTTCCCATATCTATCATTAAAGCTGGTTCTCAATTATACCATTTTCATAAGCTCCTCTCGAATTCCGAATTCCGTCTCATACCGCCTAGATAGGTTGTACATCCATCTGAATTAAGCTAGCGACGCTCGATAACACGTTCACTATTCCACCCGACAGTTTTTTTCTTTCCTTGATTATTCTCCAAAATTAAGTCTCGGACACAAAAAGAATACAATGTCTGACGCTATATCATCATTTCTCCGGAGGGTAATTGTCGAATCTCCGCCTGGAGAATGGGCTATGCGCCAGCTCCGCGAACTGCTCATTGGCGCCCTCAAGCAAGGTCCTATTCCCCAACATGTTTCTTTTGAGATGGACGGCAACCGACGATATGCTCGAAATCATAGAATGGAGACCGTAGAAGGTCATCACCGAGGATTTGAGGCGCTGGCTAGGGTATGTTATCCGCAATCCCGCAATTGTGTGACGTGCTGACGTGCAATATCTAGATCATGGAAATTTGCTACAAGTCCGGAGTCAAAGTAGTGACTGTATACGCCTTCAGTATTGAGAACTTTAATCGACCAAAATACGAAGTGGAGGGTCTGATGGAGCTGGCCAAGATCAAGCTGGAGCAGCTAACAAAATATGGCCATATCCTCGACCGTTACGGTGCCCGTGTGCGCGTCTTGGGTCAGCGCGACATGATCCGACCTGATGTTCTTGAAGTGGTCGACAAGGCTGTCGCGAGAACCAAACACAACAACAAGTCAGTCCATTGTATCTGGAGGAACGTACCAATTGCTAACGCGTATTATTCAGGGCCGTTCTGAACATTTGCTTCCCATACACCTCGCGAGCCGAGATCACATCCGCAGTGAAATCAACAGTGCAAGAGTTTCTCGCTCCCACACCTCCTCGAAGCACGCCCTTCTCCCCATCTCGAATTCGACAGAAAATCCTTTCGCGCCAGCTGGACGGTCGCGAGGGGCTACCTACAATCCCGGATGTCCTCCCCGAAGAGGTCGAACCATTAGATGGAGATGATGCCAAGAAGGACAGCGATGGAGATTCCTCATCACCTACACTGCAACCTGACTCCCCCCCTCCTCGTCTGCGCGCAAGAAACAGCGCTGCCAGCCTTTCGGGCTTACCAAACCCCGAAACAATTACAGCCGAGACCTTGGACAAGCACATGTACACTGCAAACGACCCGCCCCTAGATATCTTTGTACGAACTAGCGGAGTGGAGCGCCTCAGTGACTTCATGCTTTGGCAATGCCATCAGGATACACAGATCTTCTTCATCGATACTTTGTGGCCTGACTTCGACCTCAAGGACTTCATCTGGATTTTGCTCGAGTGGCAATGGAGGCAGAAGCAGAAGGATCGCGATGAGGCAGTGGCTCGGTCTCCGTCTGTTACAGCGTGATTTGATTCTGGTGGCAGTGATACCCCGGTTTGGTAGAAAAGCCAAACAGCTTTCATCATAAGCAGTCTTGGGATGGTTTGAGAAAGGCGTGCGAATTTGAAGATTTTTGGTGTTAGTTTTGCTAGGGTCAGTGAGCGATAGACTTTAATACGCTCATAATACCATTTCCTTAGTCTGTACAAGATAAGCTTGTTTGCGTTGGCTCTACACTGATTCTAAATTGGTTCTTTAAACAGATATTTCATCACTAATGGATGTGAGGTTATGACGAAATGGGTATCGAGATTGATACCCCACGCGGTGTAGGATATTCCTCCGTGATCACTAACTATCTGATTGACCGCAAAAGACTTGAACATTGTATTCACACAGAGAATTGGGATTGTGGAAGGCAGAGGGTTTGTCTTTGAATTTGACGTAATTGCTAACGAGGAGAGAGACTAATTTGGTTCAAAGTCAACATTGAACTCAGTCGCATGTGCCTTTTTTGTTTAAAGGTTAAGGTACTCCGTCATCGGGGGCTGGTGTCTCCAGACTCCAGGGCTGTGGGTCGGGTCCTGTGAGTCTCTGTACCCCCCTGGAGTTACAGCGGTACAGTGGGCGCCACGGCATTCGCAGCGCTGAGTCTCCAAAATCGAATGGGAGTGCAAGACAGACGGCCAGCCCATCCAAACCATATCCCATCCCGCTTTCGTTTCTGCTACTACGCGTGCTCTCTTTTTCCCCCCTCCTCATTATACACAGATTCTTCTCACCACTTATGGCACCAGCGCGCAAAATGACCTAACCTTTTGTTTTCTACCTGGCCGATACCAACTGTTACTTGCCTATTTACTTCCCGTCCACATCATACCTCTCTCTTGATTCAAACTTCCTGCCGCCAGCTTTGTCCCGCCGTCTAATCTCGAACTGATCAACCGAGCCGACTCAGTCCTCTCTACTCTTTCGCGTCTTCCACCATGAAGTCGGCCAAGGCGCCCGCGGGGGAGACCTCGTCGCACCGCCGGTCGCAGCCCGTCCGTCAGACTCGTACGAACCCTCCGCGAAGCATCGCGAACTTGGGTCGTTCTGGTGGTGCTGGCAGAGACTCAATCGGTGGTGCCGAGCAACCCATCGACATTTTCCCTGCGATTACACACTTTGCCGATGCCATTACTGCACTCCCAAAAGAACTTGTTCGGCATTTTACCCTCCTCAAGGAGGTTGATGCCAAACTTTTCACCCCCGAGGATCAGCTCTTCCGACTCGTTGAAGCTGCCACCAAAGCTCCTGTTTCCGAGACACGTCCGAACAACGAGGCATCCAGCGCCAATGCTCCTGGTTCGGCGCCTATGAGTGCGCAGAATAGCTCAAGTGGTATTGCATTCAACAATAGCGTCCAGAGCGTACCTCCAGTCGATGAATCGAACAGGGATGCTGTTTTCGACCCATCCAATCTTCCTCGTCGTCACCTCTTTCGCCAGACCGCGCTCAAGATCCAGGAAATGCTTGTTTCGCTCGAAGAAAAGAACCACGTTATCTCGACAGCCAACGAGGCCCTCCAAGCCCAGCTCACTCGGATTGAAGATGTCTGGCCTCACCTAGAAGGCGAATTCAGTGACGAGGCCAAATGGGGAAGCACTACACATTGGGCATATCCTGAAAATCGCTTCTCCAAGGCCTCTCACGTCGACCGAACACGGCGCGACGGTGCCGCAGCCATATCTGCAGCTGCGCAGGCCCTTGCTGACGAGGCAGCCGCTAGAAGCGATGCTCGAAAGCAGGCTGTACAAGCAAAGAAGAATTCAAGGAACCATAACAATAATCATAACCACTCTAATGCCCATAACCACGATTCGGAGGGAGACGACCATGATGGCAAACACAAGCCTGAAGCTCCAAAGAAGACAGCCAAATCGCGGAAGACAGCGACAGCAACGGAAATAGCTAATGTTGGACTGGGTATTTCTACGGCTGCGACGAACAATGGGAACCCGCCACAGAAGCGACGCAAAGTTGAAAAGACGACTAATGGTGCTGCTGCGACAACAACAGAGCGTGCAATGAGCTCGGTTTTTGGAAATGCTGCACCGAAGGCAAAGACAACAAGTCCTAGAGCAACTCCCGCACCCGAGGCACCTAAGAAGAGAAAAGCTCTTCCTTCAGGAAGCGGCCAGTCCAAGAAGAGGTATGTCCCAGAATCCGGAGGAGATGCTCTAAAGACAGGTTCTAACATGGTGATCTGTAGCAGAAACGGCGTAACTGGTTTATCCAATTCGGTCAACTCGTCGCCCGTCATCACCGAGCTACCTGAGCCAAAGCTACCCCCTGTTCGCGCATCACCAGTACCGGTTCCTACTCCAAACCCGGCTCGGACTCGTTCGCGACAGAACTCAATACAAACTGTAAATACGGATAGCAACAAGGCAAGGCCGACATCATCGGCTTCTAATAAACCCAATGGTAATGCAGCTAGCACGCCAGCCGTTGTTGCTCCAGCAGCTAGTGCGCTTCGCAACGGTGCTGAGCCCAAAACTCCAAAGGAGACGAATGCACCGATCAAGACCGAAAATCCTAAGAAGGAAGCCGAGAAAACAGAGACTGTATCAGCGCCTCCGGTCCCTACACCTACCACCACTGCCACCATCTCAACTACCACTACAGCCGCAACCACCGCCGCTGCTACGACTGGCACCAAGAAGGATACCAAAAAGCCGGAGGAGAATGATCGCAAGAGCGAATCACTACCACCAGTTCCACAAGCGGCCACGGTTACAACAAAGAGTGGGCGCGCCAGTAAACCATCAACGCCAGCATTGGCAACGTTCCAAGAAGCAGTGCAGCCCCGAGCACGCTCATCGAGGAACAATGACGGGACTGGTACTGGAAAGAAAAATCAGAAGAAAGCTGCACCTACCATTCACGCAGCTGTTGCTGCTCAACTGGCCGAAGAAGATACGAACAGCAGCATGCAAGGCGACGAAGATGACGGTGACGTTGATGCAGACGAGCCAACATACTGTTACTGCAATGGGGTGTCCTACGGCGAGATGGTAGCTTGCGATGCTGCTGAATGTCCTCGCGAATGGTTCCATCTGGAGTGCGTTGGACTGAAGGTTGCACCAACATCAACAGGTAAGTTGTTGCAAAAGAGGACTGAACTATCAAAGGAATCAAACGCTAACTTGGTGTAGCGAAATGGTATTGCGAGGACTGCAAGGAACGCCTCAAAGCGGGAGGTAGAAAGGCCACTGGTCGATAAAGGGTCAGGCGACATTTGCGTGACGCGAGTCACGATGGCCTCATTTTGAAATCCACGATTGGTTCTAAAACGAATTGCACCGCCCATGGACTGAATGGGCAAATGCATACGACGGACACATACGGCGTTTCCTTTGTTTCTTGGGATGGCGGTGGACGCGGCCATACAGTACCCGTTCTTTGTTTCTGGTGTTCTCAAATGGTTGAGGGAGGGTTTGTTGAACCGAGGGTTATGTTATCAAGTTCTCATCTGGAAGCGCAGATGCTGTACAGGGACTGGGACTATACGTCCAGGTGTTATTCTCAATTCTATAGAAAGCATTATGTTATGGTGAGCAGGCCAAGGTACGAATATGGATGGAGAGCCAGGGGCAAAATGCGGGGGAGTTTGAGGGGTGTACATTGCATTGCATTACTTACATTGACCCCGGCCTGGGTGGAATGAATACACCGTTGGATTTGACCAATGGAAGCACTTGCTTGAAACGTTTTAGTGACGACCGGATGAGGAGAGGAGAAGAGAGGAGCCGGGGGCAAAAGTCACGATGTTTGGGCTGGAGCTGATGGTGGTTAGGTTGTGCTCAGTGCTGAGATTACAGCCACCCCGGCCGAGCTTGACACCAAGGTTCGAGGGTGGCCCAGCCATGGTCACGAGGTTCACGATGCAGACCGCTAAGAGCAAAATGTTAGGTAATTGATTTTCCGAGCCGCCAGAGTGCAAGGGGTAGCTTGAGGCATTGGCCAACGGCAGAGGGCGACAAGGGGGAGCTTCTATTATTCTGGTGGTGTAAGGCTTGCAAGTGCTCCTTGTGCGCGGTAGCGAAGCTAGGATCTGCAACTTGTTGAGGAGCAAGGAACTAGGCTATGTAAGGAAAGTAAGGGGAGAGAAGAGACGAGAAGAGAGAAGAGAAGGTGTTTAGAAAGGTTTCGAGCTCAACAATGTCACGCGGAGATGGAGGTTCCGGGGTTCGGAATTTGGAAGAGGCTTGGTTATTAGTCAGAGAGACAGTGGGAGTCAAGTGATGCGTTGGAAGAGTGATGGAAAGTGAAAGTGACAGGCAGATCTAGGTCATGACGTTGAGGAAAATCCGGGGTAAATCTGTCCCTCTTTTTAATGGCCGGTGTGTTTTTTTGTCTGCTCCCGTCTTCTCCCTTTTACCTTCGGTGATAGGCTCCGGGGGGTGCGGCTGCGGGTAGGTACCTTATGTACACGGCGCTTATAAGCTGGAGGTGTCACGGCCGCGCTCCGAGTCCGCTGGCGCGGAGAGGAGATCACGTTATTACACTCTCATGATGATATATTCGTAATCAAACACAGATTTAGAAAGTCTTGACGATGGTGCCGAAATCCGATTATGACTCCGAGGACCTGCAATGGAGTCGCACAAGTTGCACAATGGTGGCATTGTGAACCTCCTTTTTTGTATGATGGCCATCTCGGCTGGCATTCAACAGGTATTCAGGGGCCTCAGTCCGGAGTGCATGTTTGATGAGGCGGTGTCTATTCTATGTCATCTGGAGAAACAGCCGATATGCACAGTAGCTTAATTACACGATATTCCGGGGACGAGCTGAGCAATCTCATCTACCTAAGGTAGGTCAGACACTATGAGGCACGTGCAACAGCTGAATCGCATGTTGCCAGGATGCTGGTCGTGCTATGGCATATCATGGTCAGCGTGATTCAGGAACGTGGTATGTTTCTTGGCTGTCTGTGCTTAGCATTTGCGGTCTCTGTTACCACTGAAAAAGGACCCCGGCTGACACGTCTGGTCCCCTCGGCGGCTGGAGTCGGTGTTCGTCTCCGTGGTCGGTCTCGGCCTGGCATGTTTAAGCTCCAGTTGGCGTCGACTAGGGCCGGAGGAAACGGGGTGCCGGTAACGACGATGCCCACCCGAGAGGGTAATGTTTACTTGAAAAGAACCCTTCTAGAGGATCTGAAATCTGGGGACCGGCATCTTTGCCGGTTCTCGAAGGAAATGCCTCTCTTTTACAGATCATTAGCGTTTTCAAATTCTCTCAAATTTGTCTTCTCTGGCGGGCTCTGTCTCTCGAGACAGTTCGAGCATGAGTGCGGCGTTGTACGATACGATTGGGAGTGGTAATAAGCCGGCGGTGCAAAGCGGGTAAGGTATCTTGAGGCGAAGATACTCTTTTCGTACAGAGGACGTGCAGCGCCTCAAACTCTGCTGTTTTAAGACTGCCCTTGTGACCTGAGTGGCCACTGTACGCTATAGTAATGTCCTTTTTTCCCACCAAAGTGTCGTTCTTGGGGCTTCTAGCTTGGGGGGTCTAGAAGAAACGCATGCTTAGCAAAGGCCATTGCCGAATCGTGTTGCTGGACTCCCGACGTGGCCGACATTCTCTAGGTCACGAGGATCTCGGCGAATCTGTCAATATGTGACTTATTCATTTCGAGATCTGGGGCTTTTTGATGCAATTCCTGTGAAACGAAGGCGGGGTTGTGTTGTTTCTATTACTCTACCTATACTATGCAGGTGCAGCTGTCCATTCGCTGACGAAGGATGTCATTATATTACGTTTTGCTACGTTACGTTTGGTTGTCGTTGAACTGTAGTAAGAATCCACTGGCTGGCTCACGAAAAGGTTGTCTCGCATAGAGGAGCCTTGTCCGCGGAGTTTATAAGTGCATGTTCGTATAAGTGACATGGTCTTCCATGCTGCAAGTTGTACAGCATATACGTCAAAGGAATACATGAAGACGCAATGCAAGATTTTGGGGTAAAAACAAGACTACCTGCCAGTACTGTAGAAACATCTGATGGTCAGCAAGATGATGTGCAATTTGACGTGTTGTTGCCAAGACGAGGTTGGACAAAATTAGCAGACGGACAAGCAAAAGGCAGCTGGGAGTTGATTTTTTCTGTTAGTCTTGGCTTCTCAGCGAGGTCGTTCTCATTACCAAATCTCGACTCGTTTCATCCAATCGAGTGAGTGGCACACCTCTCTCTCTCTCTCTTTTTTTTTTTTAGGCCGATCCGGCATTAGCGGTTGCAGCGAAATTCTTTTCTTTGTTTGGACATTGGATCTCTAAGCGGCAACGGCTTTTGACATCTCATTACTCGCTAATAATTCATCATTGGGCAGTTCTTGATAGAATGGATGGATACTTGGTGAGCTGCGACACTCATCCTTGACTGACCGAGATTTCATGATGGATGGACATGGCATCGACTGTGACAGTCCAGGTAATGAATGACTGTGACAGACAAGCCATGGTGTCGTGTCGAATGCTCACCTGACGTCTCCAGACCCGAAAAGTCCATCCAGTCTTTGATTTCTATTACCCAATATTGTGCGATCCCAAGCTAAACAAATGCCCCGTGCATGAGTATGAGGTGCCAAACACCAACACCAACGTCCCTGGACTGGCCCCAGTGGCGCCGCTCCTTAGCCTCTTTTCCTACTTACTGTTGCTCATCGTTCGGGGTTCGCCTTGAATCTTGCCTTGTCCTGCTTGTCTCGTCTCGGTCTTGGGTCTTGGATCCCTTTCCCTGGCGTTTGGACCCTCCGGTCCCCGTCATGAGGTCCCCATTGAGGTCCCGTCCCTAGTTCCATTACCCATTACCCATTACCCATTACCCATTACCCATTCCTTGTCCTAGTCCTAGTCATAATAATAAATGGTCGTTGTACTAGACTAAACTTCATGGAGTTGCCTCGTGGAGTCGTTTGTTCGTTTATAACTATCCCCAGGCCCCCCGAGCCCTGATGCGCGAGTCACTCTGTTTCTTCCTTTTTGATTCCAGATCATTTTGACGATAAGAAAGTATTCTCTGACCTTTAGATCTTATCTCTTGGTCTTATCCTCTCCGAGTATCGCAAAGCAAAAAACCATTTCGTCATCGCTTCTCGCCGCCCTCTATCGGCCTTAGCTTAACAATACCTACAGACAGCACCGTATAGCAAGAAGACTCCGGATCCGGTGGCTCATAGAACGCCACTGCTGTTTCGTGAATATTCTTCTTATTCGGACCTGATATTTTTGCCAACCGTTTGGTTGGCGATCTCATTCCTACCTAGCCTGCCTCCCTAGACTATTCCTCACCTGACCATTCCGTCCTCTCTCGCTGAGGTCGGCCATTGCATATCTCTATATCTTTAATTGAATGGCCCTCCCTCTTAGCCCCACGCACCATGCGGTGCCTCAGTTTGACCTTTCTGCTCTGCTCAAGGCCAAAATGTCACGCCCCGAATCTCCCAACAGCAACAGCGACAAGACTGCTCGATCGTCCTTCTCGTCTGTCCGAGAGAACGATGATGGCCTAGCCCAGACTTTCACCCGCTCAAAGATTTCCTCCTACACTCAAGGGCCGGAAGAGGTATTCGATGAATCACCCTCACCCTCCGCTGAGATTGCACAGCCGTCTTTTCAGGCTCCTCTGACGCAGCCTCACAGTCGGCTTCATGGCTTCTGGTTCCCCGCGGACAACTTTCGCGGATGGAAGCAGATCCCCATCAAGGGCAAATCCGCCAGCCGCAGCTGCGAGGATCTTCACAAGCTATCCATGACATGGAGCTCTCCAGCACCTCCCGCCGTCACTGAGAAGGCTTCACCCAACAGCTACCAGACCGGATCTTCTCCTCTCGAGAGACTTCCCAGCGAAGTTTTAGGTACGTAAACTTGCGCGCATCGCATGCCAAACAGTTCCTCAGCCATCAACCATCAACCATGAACCCTGCTGAACCCCGGTCCCAATTATATGACACACCTTGTACTAACATGCCGATCACAGGTGCCATTATCGACCTTCTCGTCATCGAGATCCCTCCCAATGGCCTTACACCACGAAACGCCGACCTTATGGCTCTTCTCCTTACTTCGCGATCTATTCATGCTGCGACTCTCAACACTCTCTACCGTCACATCACGATTCCTCACTCTCGTATCTTCCGAAAGTTCCTCGCAACCATCACTGAGTACCCCGCGCTCGCATCTATTGTGCGGCGGCTCGACTTCAGCCATTTTAACCCCTCCAC